TTGAAGTAGAAGACTTGCAAAGGCTGCAGAAAAGAGACACGCAACAGCTATTGCTAACTGGTTTTAGATTATATCCCCAATTAAACAATGCATAATTCAATGCTTTCTTTGTGGTATGTCTACGAAACAGTGATTCCTTTTTGTATTTGAGAAGTGGAGAGTTCCTTTAACCTATTTTTTAACCTTGTATTTGGGCATAAAACATTACATTGCAATTCAGATTTAAGTTTTCCAATGTACATTGTTTAGTGAATAAACCCCTTAGGATAAACAGCTACTGAGATGTGTCAAAATATTTTTCTATTGTTTTAGTGTCATCTCAAAAGTCAAATGTATTTCCCAATACATTTATTTTAGATTAATGCGACATCAAAAAGAAATTAAGCTTTAAATTGAATTAAAAAAAAAAAATCTTCAAGAAATAGGGTCAGAATATGACAAAGCAAGATCGATAGCAGTGTAAAAACCTTGACCTTTTTTATATGCAAGAATTTCCAAGCTGATTGCATGCTTTCTCCTATTTCTTAAATGCAATTAATTCTTTGCAAATAAATGATAACAGTGGAAGATAAGTTAATAATCACTTTCCTGAAAATCAGTGGCGTACACACAAACAATGGGGCCCCGGTGCAAAAATGATCCGTGGGCCCTCCCTATATCTCCCCCAACAGACACCCACACACATACATAAGACACACACACACATAGACACAAACACATACACACAGACACATACATAGAAACAGACAGGCACACATATATACATACACATACACACACATACATACATACAGACTGACACACAGACAGGCACATAGACACATACATACAAACAGACAGGCACACATACAGACACACACACACACACATACAGACACACACATACAGACAGACACACACACAAGACACAAATACATACAAACATACAGACAGACACACACACACACAAGATGCACACACATACATACAAACAGACAAGCACACACACACATACAGGCAGACACACACACAAGACACACATACATAAAAAACAGACATGCACACATACACACAGGCAGACACAGACAGACAGACACACACCCACACACACAGACAGACATACATACAAACATACAGACAGACACACACACACAAGATGCATATATATACATACAAACAGACAAGCACACACACATACAGGCAGACACACACACGAGACACACATACATACAAAGACACATACATAAAAAAACAGACAGGCACACATACACACCGGCAGACACATACAGACACACACATACAAACATACAGACAGACACACACACAAGACGCACATGCATACATACATACACACATACAAGCACACATACATGCAGGCAGACACACACACAAGACACACATACATAAAAAACAGACAGGCAGACACATACACACAGGCAGACACATACAGACAGACAGACACACACACACAGACATACACACATACAGACAGACACACACACACACAAGACGCACATACATACATACAAACAGACAAGCACACACATATACAGGCAGACACACAGACAGACACACATACACACATACATACATACATACATACACAGACAGGCACACACACACAGACAGACACACATACATACAGACAGACAGGAACACACATACATACATACAAAGAGGCAGACACACACAGACAGACACACATACATACAGACAGACAGGAACACACATACATACATACAAAGAGGCAGACACACACAGACAGACACACATACAGACAGACATGCCCACACATACAGACACACATACATACATACAGACAGACACACACTCAAAATGTTTAAGTCACCCTCCTGTTTCCTATCTTTAAGGTGCAGGAAGGTGACTTTCCCTGGGGTCCAGTGGTGGCTCAGGTGGATGGGAGTCAGAGTTCCCACTCTGACTCCCTCTGCTTCCTCCCGCGCGGTCACTTCCTCCCAGCTTGTGATGTCATCACAGGGGGCCTGGTCGTACTGTTAAAGCGCCCAGTGCTGATCTGGCCCCTTGACAATCCACATCCATCAGGTGGCCCTGACAGCATGGGCCACCCGATGGACCCCTTGGGGCCGCAGAAGATGATAGCGGCGCATACCCGGTCACAGGGGTCCGCAGGGTGGCCGGGCCCCCTGGAGTGACTGGCCCTGCGACCCCTGCGACTGCGGTATGTACACCGCTGCTGGAAATCACACCATTGATTAAAATATTGAAAATTTACAAATTACTTTTATCTGTGCTCTCTCCTTAATCTCTATGTATATTTAAACAAATGGAGGTCATTTAGTTACTCCAATGGCCACTGGAGGGAATGCCCGCCTGCCAACATCAAGGCAGACCCCCCTAGACGAGTCCTACACTGATCCTTTACCTGGCTTCCTTGAGCTTCTGGCAAAGATATCTCCAATAAGACAGAAAGGGGTATTTTTTATATACACCCCTATATACTTGTTAAGCCTTAACAGGGAACACATGGGATGGGCGGAAGCATTGTAACCTAGCTGTGTGATACAAAAAGTGAATACAAATACAAAAAGAAAAGTCCTGCACTCACTCCCATCGCTCCTGGGAGGCAGCAACATATGTATGCATTAGCTGATGTGTACTGTAGTCATTGCTGTTTTACTCAGGAGACTTTGCTAAACACAAATATTAGTGTTTCAAAACAGTAAAATGTATTACAATGATGATATTGTCAATGAATTTTTTTGCATTTTTCACACACAAATAGCACTTACACTGACAATATGTGATATGTTTTACTGTTTTGAAACACTAATATTTGTGTTCAGCAAAGTCTCCCGAGTATAACAGTACCCCTCATGTACAGGTTTTGTGGTGTTTTCAAAAGTTACAGAGTCAAAAACAAGGCATGCGTTTCACTTTTTTACATTGAAATTCGCCAGATTGGTTATGTTGCCTTTGAGACTGTATGGTAGTCCAGGAATGAAAATTACCCCCATGATAGCATACCATTTGCAAAAGTAGACAACCCAAGGTATTGCAAATGGGGTATGTCCAGTCTTTTTTAGAAGCCACTTAGACACAAACTAATACCTTGGGTTGTCTACTATAGCAAATGGTATGCCATCATGGGAGTAATTCTCATTCCTGGGCTACCATACGGCCTCAAAGGCAACGTAACCAATCTGGCAAATTTCAATGTGAAAAAACTGAAAAATGTAACATGCTATATTTGACTCTGTAACTTCCTAAAACACCATAAAACCTGTACATAGAGACATCGTTGAATACAAATATGTATATATTTTTTTTGCAGTAAAAGCAAACAGTATTATGACATTCACAGTTAGAATGTCATTTAGAACTAAAAAATAACAAAAATTCTTATTTTCTCCCATTTTTAATTTTTTTTATTTATATTAAATTATGTTTCTTAGCTAAATATTTGATGTTAAATGAAAGTCCTGTTTCCCCTGAATAAAATGATATACAATAAGTGTTGATGCACATAATATGCTATATAGTGAAATGCCAGGTTTTGTTTATGTGTTGTTTTGATCACAACGTGCACATTTAGCTAAGTCCTTAAGGGGTTAAAAGATCATTATCAAAGTGTAAATCAGAAAAGTGGTGAAAAGATATAAAATTGGAGTAATCATCAGTGCATACCTCCCAACATTTAAAGTGAGCAAAGAGGGACACTTTAATTTTAGGGGTGTGGGTGGGGCTGTGACCAGAGACAGAGCTATTCAGAGACATTTTACGTGACTTACTAATAACAAGTTATGAAACTAAGCTGTAATTTAGAACAAGAACAATGTATCTTATTTACACAGAGTGGTATCTAAACAGTAGTTTAAATACACATTACTGGGAGTATTATTGCTGTGGAGCTTTGTTATACACTCAGACACACCAGCAACATGGAGCTCCTAGAAAAGAGGGACATTAGAATAGAAAAGAGGGACAGAGGGATTTGTTCTTAAAACAGGGACTTTCCCTCCTAAATAAGGACACTTGGGAGGTATGCCAGTGGGATGTGCATATCAGTTGCATTGGTTTCCATGGTGACTGCTCCACTTGTAGAACTTTGCCTCACTTTTCAGAGCCCCAAACTGTGATAAATCTATACTTTTCGGTCCATCAACTGTAAACATCTCAGCTTTACATTCTTCTCCATCCCTCTATATAGATATAAAGATTAATATAAAAAGAGGAGGGGGCTCTAGTGGCCCTCTGGTTGACAGCACCTTGAGTTTCGTTCTCACCCAAATGTAAATTGCCTGTTTCTCCTAATGGAATCGGAGTGACACTATTTAATTAAGTGACATTATATGTGTCACATCAATAGCCCAATATTGGCATGATCAGCAAGGCTCACCTTGCAAAACGTGTTTCCCTACAGAAAAATCAGAATATTAAAACTGCTTTGCTGAGTCAGTCAAGACGAAGACTGACACGCAACATACATTAAGTGCCATTACTCCACACACCTTCCTAATGACCCGATTTGAGGGATCACCGCTTTTCTATAGAGCCATACAAGTACTTGTATAGTCTGAGAACTCACTGCTTACTCACACTGTACATACATATATCCACTTTTATAAATTCAACTAATTTGCTAAATATGTGAAAATAAATTTACTAATTTCTTCTATGGTGTTCATTTTGCAATGATATAGTATATTTTTGTTCTTTAATCCAAATCACAGCATGGTTTCCCCATACCTTCTGAAAATTAGAATTTTTAACATTGACCAAAATATCACAATAGTTAAATAAAAAGGACCAGAATTTAATTAAGATGTAAATTAATCAAACTTTATTATGAAGTACTGGGATGCAGAATAATGTATACTTAATCAAAATTAACACACTAAGCTTGCAGCAAACACAAGACTGCCTATTTTAATAAGCACCTGACAGTAAGTTCATTTATTTTACATTCCAACATATACAGTTTAAATAGATTTTCAGGTTTGTAGACAGGGGATTGAATGCATGGTGTATATACACCAGGGATGGCCAAGCATGCACAGAATCCAGAACAGGTTTGTGAGAAAAGTTAGCTATGCCTGGAATTAAGACTGTGGTCTGCATTCACATAGGTTCTACCCTGCATTCACATAGGGTGAACCCAAGATTCATAGAGGCTGTACCTTTCATTACACTGTTTGTAATCTGTATTCACATAGGTTGTGCTCTGGATTTATTTAAGCTGTTCAATTCATTCACACGGTACTTGCACCTCATTCACATAGGTTGTGCTCTGGATTCATATAAGCTGTACCATTCATTCACACAGTTTGTACCCCACATTCACACAGAATGTGCTCTGGATTCATGTAAGCTGTACAATTTATTCACACGGTTTGTACTCTGCATTCACATAGGTTGTGCTCTGGATTCATATAAGCTGTACCATTCATTCACACAGTTTGTACCCCACATTCACACAGAATGTGCTCTGGATTCATGTAAGCTGTACAATTTATTCACACGGTTTGTACTCTGCATTCACATAGGTTGTGCTCTGGATTCATATAAGCTGTACCATTCATTCACACAGTTTGTACCCCACATTCACACAGAATGTGCTCTGGATTCATGTAAGCTGTACAATTTATTCACACGGTTTGTACTCTGCATTCACATAGGTTGTGCTCTGGATTCATATAAGCTGTACCATTCATTCACACAGTTTGTACCCCACATTCACACAGAATGTGCTCTGGATTCATGTAAGCTGTATCATTCATTCACACAGTCTGTACCCAGCATTCACACAGAGTATGCTCTGGATTCATGTAAGCTTTACCATTCATTCTCACAGTTTGTACCCCACATTCACAGAGAGTGTGCCCTGGATTAATATAAGCTGTACCATTCATTCACACTGTTTGTAATCTGTATTCACATAGGTTGTGCCGTGGATTTATATAAGCTGTACCATTATTTTACATTGTTTGTACCCCACACTCACACAGAGTGTGCTCTGGGTTTATATAAGCTGTACCATACATTCACACAGTTCGTAATCTGTATTCACATAGGTTGTGCTCTGGATTCATATAGGCTGTATCCTTTATTCACAGAGCCTGCCCCATGCATTCACAAATATGTGCCCAGGATTCATACAGCCCCTACAATGCATTCATATAAGCTTTACCCTAATTCCATAAACTGTAACCTACATTCGCATAGGTTGCATCCTACATTTACATAATATGTGCCCTATATTTATGGACTGTACCCTGCATGTGTGTAGCTTCTCCTCTATTGATTTAAGCTGCACCCAACAGACACTGCATGTACCCTGCATTCCGATATCCTGCACTCACACAGACTGTATCGTGCATTATATAGACTGTATCCTGTATTTATTCAGTCAGTACACTGTATTATATGGACTGTATCCTGCATTATACAGACCGTATTCGGTATTCCTCTATCCTGTATTAAATAGACTGTATCACTGTATTCCTCTATCCTGCATTATATAGACTGTATCACTGTATCCCTCTATCCTGTATTATACAGACTGTATCAATGTATTCCTCTATCCTGTATTATACAGACTGTAACACTGTATCCCTCTATCCTGTATCAATGTATTCCTCTATCCTGTATTATATAGACAGTAACACTATACTCCTCTATCCTGTATTATACAGACTGTAACACTGTATCCCTCTATCCTGCATCAATGTATTCCTCTATCCTGTGTTATACAGACTGTATCGCTATATTCCTCTACCCTGTATTATATAGACTGTATTAATATATTCCTCTATCCTGTGTTATATAGACTGTATCACTATATTCCTCTATCCTGTATCAATGTATTCCTGTATCCTGTATAATATAGACAGTAACACTATACTCCTCTATCCTGCATTTTACAGACTGTAACACTGTATCCCTCTATCCTGTATCAATGTATCCCTCTATCCTGTATTATAGACTGTAACACTGTATCCCTCTATCCTGTATTATACAGACTGTAACACTGTAACACTCTATCCTGTATTATAGACTGTAACACTGTATCCCTCTATCCTGTATGATACAGACTGTATCCCTCTATCCTGTATTATACAGACTGTAACACTGTAACACTCTATCCTGTATTATAGACTGTAACACTGTATCCCTCTATCCTGTATTATACAGACTGTAACACTGTATCCCTCTATCCTGTATTATACAGACTGTAACACTGTAACACTCTATCCTGTATTATAGACTGTAACACTGTATCCCTCTATCCTGTATTATACAGACTGTATCCCTCTATCCTGTATTATACAGACTGTAACACTGTATCCCTCTATCCTGTATTATACAGACTGTATCCCTCTATCCTGTATTACACAGACTGTAACACTGTATCCCTCTATCCTGTATTATACAGACTGTAACACTGTATCCCTCTATCCTGTATTATACAGACTGTAACACTGTAACACTCTATCCTGTATTATACAGACTGTAACACTGTATCCCTCTATCCTCTGTTATACAGACTGTATCACTGTATCCCTCTATCCTGTATTATACAGACTGTAACACTGTATCCCTCTATCCTGTATTATACAGACTGTATCCCTCTATCCTGTGTTATACAGACTGTATCACTGTATCCCTCTATCCTGTATTATACAGACTGTAACACTGTATCCCTCTATCCTGTGTTATACAGACTGTATCACTGTATCCCTCTATCCTGTATTATACAGACTGTATCCCTCTATCCTGTATTATACAGCCTGTAACACTGTATCCCTCTATCCTGTATTATACAGACTGTAACACTGTATCCCTCTATCCTGTATTATACAGACTGTATCACTGTATCCCTCTATCCTGTATTATACAGACTGTAACACTGTATCCCTCTATCCTGTATTATACAGACTGTATCACTGTATCCCTCTATCCTGTATTATAGAGACTGTATCCCTCTATCCTGTATAAACAGACTGTATCACTGTATCCCTCTATCCTGTATTATACAGACTGTATCCCTCTACCCTGTATTATACAGACTGTATCACTGTATCCCTCTATCCTGTATTATACAGACTGTAGCACTGTATCCCTCTATCCTGTATTATACAGACTGTATCACTGTATCCCTCTATCCTGTATTATACAGACTGTATCCCTCTATCCTGTATAAACAGACTGTATCACTGTATCCCTCTATCCTGTATTATACTGACTGTATCCCTCTATCCTGTATTATACAGACTGTATCACTGTATCCCTCTATCCTGTATTATACAGACTGTAACACTGTATCCCTCTATCCTGTATGATACAGACTGTATCACTGTATCCCTCTATCCTGTATTATAGAGACTGTATCCCTCTATCCTGTATTATACAGACTGTAACACTGTATCCCTCTATCCTGTATTATACAGACTGTATCCCTCTATCCTGTATTATACAGACTGTAACACTGTATCCCTCTATCCTGGATTATACAGACTGTATCACTGTATCCCTCTATCCTGTGTTATACAGACTGTAACACTGTATCCCTCTATCCTGTATCAATGTATCCCTCTATCCTGTATTATACAGACTGTAACACTGTATCCCTCTATCCTGTATTATACAGACTGTAACACTGTATCCCTCTATCCTGCATATTACAGACTGTAACACTGTATCCATCTATCCTGTATTATACAGACTGTAACACTGTATCCCTCTATCCTGTATTATACAGACTGTAACACTGTATCCCTCTATCCTGTATGATACAGACTGTAACACTGTATCCCTCTATCCTGTATTATACAGACTGTATCACTGTATCCCTCTATCCTGTATTATACAGACTGTAACACTGTATCCCTCTATCCTGTATTATACAGACTGTATCACTGTATCCCTCTATCCTGTATTATACAGACTGTATCCCTCTATCCTGTATTATACAGACTGTAACACTGTATCCCTCTATCCTGTATTATACAGACTGTATCACTGTAGCCCTCTATCCTGTATTATACAGACTGTATCCCTCTATCCTGTATTATACAGACTGTAACACTGTATCCCTCTATCCTGTATTATACAGACTGTAACACTGTATCCCTCTATCCTGTATTATACAGACTGTATCCCTCTATCCTGTATCAATGTATCCCTCTATCCTGTATGATACAGACTGTAACACTGTATCCCTCTATCCTGTATTATACAGACTGTAACACTGTATCCCTCTATCCTGTATCAATGTATCCCTCTATCCTGTATGATACAGACTGTAACACTGTATCCCTCTATCCTGTATTATACAGACTGTAACACTGTATCACTCTATCCTGTATTATACAGACTGTAACACTGTATCCATCTATCCTGTATTATACAGACTGTAACACTGTATCCCTCTATCCTGTATTATACAGACTGTAACACTGTATCCCTCTATCCTGTATTATACAGACTGTATCCCTCTATCCTGTATTATACAGACTGTAACACTGTATCCCTCTATCCTGTATGATACAGACTGTAACACTGTATCCCTCTATCCTGTATTATACAGACTGTAACACTGTATCCCTCTATCCTGTATCAATGTATCCCTCTATCCTGTATGATACAGACTGTAACACTGTATCCCCCTATCCTGTATTATACAGACTGTATCCCTCTATCCTGTAGATCAGTCTCCCCCCACCCCCCATCCTCTCCCAGCCCTGGGAATGTCAGGCTCCTGATCTCGCCCTCCCATTGGCTGCTGTCTGCCGTGACGTCACGATCATGATTAGAATTGATGATCGGGCTCGCTGATTTCATTGTCTGGTCCCGGACCGGAGAGGACCCGGAGCGGCCCTAGTCATCCCCCACGGCCGGGGAGGGGGTAGGTAGATGGGGGGTATATCACTGGTGGGTGGGGGTGATGGGCAGGGACCGGTCCTGTTATCTGGGGGGGCGCACGGTCTGAGATCTGCAGAATTTCTGGGGGCGGGAGGTTGTTTCCGGGCACAGATAGGCTCTGGATTAACCCCTCCCGGCCCGGTGCCTGGCACTCCGGCAGCGCACGTGTTAATGGGAATCCAGCCTGCAATAACCCCCAGCGGGCTCCTGGACTCCAGGCCTGGGTGTTTGGGGGAGGAGGGGGTAGATCTGTGCCTCCCTCCCTTCCCCCCTTTAAGGGACATGCGCAGTGTGCCCCACTTCCTAGGCTGGCACTGCTTGGTGTGAGACAGAGGGCTGCACCTGTCTGGGAGGGAGCTGCAACAAAGTTCCAGTGTGCAGCACGTGATCACACATTGATACATTGCTGAACGTTCGATTGGACCGAGCGTTCTAACATGGAACACTGAGCAGGCAGTCATTCTACTGCTATGTATAATGTACACCATAGCCCCGGATAGTGCACACACATTGTCACTGCTTATTATTTTATTTAATGTACACATCTTTTTAGGGGGATTTCAAATATTTAGTATCTCTCATGTTTTATATCTGCCTTATAGATTCTACAGCACCAGGACTCTCTCTCTCTCTCTGCAGACAGTTCCAGATTCTGCAGAATTACTCCAGAATCTATTTCTGTTGTTCCCCAATTCTGCTATTTTTTGAGTACAAGTTGTCACATATTCTAGTGAATAAACTATTCAAATGAAAACTAGTGTTTACAGTTCATATTCATAAGATGTGCATACAGGCAATATTTGTATTTATTTATTTAGTTTAGATAAGGTAACATCTGGATACTCCGTCACTAAAGGCATTTATTTATCAAACAAGTTTACATTTGCTCTTTATATAAATGTTACATTTCAGCTAATACAAACTTTAAAGTGAAATGGGACGGTTCTTTCAGCACAGAAACACTATTTGCAGCTTTTACTGGGGTGAATAATTCAGTGGAGGTATGTAAAGAAAAAATGACTTTCAATGCACTTCTATGTTGCACTGACCTAGTGCATTGGGGGCACACACAGGCATGTAATGGGGATATGCCATACACACACATGCCCATTTTATACAGCAGCACAATATGTGTGCATGTATTGTACACACAGAACCTCAGACAGTTTATTTGTATAGTTTGCTGATCTTAGCAATGCAAAATATGTCAATTAAAACAAAAAAATAAACTATAAAAACAATAATTTTAAAATAATTAGCACACACAGTAACTAATGATAAGGTAGCTATTAGGTCATGCTAGAAAGTAGGAAGTCACAGTTCCTCTTTAAAGGAAAGAGACAGTTCCTTATTCCTTATTCCCTCGCCCCAGTCAGTGCTGTGGCGGCAGCCATAGGTAAGGAAAGCAGTGGAACAAATGAAAAAAAAAAAAAACAACGATATTCTCCTCTATATTACTTCTGGACCATGGTGATGTCATTGTGAGATGATGTGTGCATGGGTCCCTACAGAAAAAGTCACATTAGGGTTATCCACTAATGTGAGAATTCCAAGTTACTTTCAAACTTAAGGTAAAAATATCCTAGCTGGAAAAAACTCAGCTATGCTTTCACTTTAGTAAATAATCCTGTTTAAGGTTTCGAATTTAAATTGAGCGTTACAAGGAGCTTACCATAACAACTTACAGCAAATAATATAGTTTAGCGTATGCTGTGATATGTACGCACAAAACTACCTCAAACTCACCTACTTTGATATGCACACATATAGCCACTCTTTTACAAGCAAATGCAGACATAACTAGCTGCTCACACAGACATACAGGTCTTTTTATATAGCTGATATGCTAAATCTCGAAATTGATACTTGTTTATGCAGTGAGGAGAGAAACCTTAGGAGCTCTATTAACACAGTAAGTTTGGCACTCACCATAATAACAGAATCCACCAATCTTAGAAACCCAGTATTGTGGCACTAGATTCCTCTTGAAGATGTTCACATGTTGTAGATGCTGGTCTCTTATTCATCCATAACCACCACATTAGTTCCATGTTGTAGTTGCATACAAGATGTTCCAGGAGCCCACTTGTTGGAAGATTGCCCTGGTTGACCTCAGCGTGACTCTCTTGGTTGGTTTGTGTTGCTCTCATATTGTTCAGGTGGGCAGGGTATATATCTTTAGGTGTCTTGCCCATGGACACTTACTGGTGCAGTGGTCAGACTGGGATTTGAACCTGTGGTTCCCAGGTCAGTGACATTACCACTGTGCCCTCCAGTTGATAACTCAAAGAGTGCCCTTCTCGGAACAGCTAAGACACTGCACAGAACCCTCAGACTCCCAGGCCTCTGGTAGAGGACCCAAGAATGAGGAATAAAAATACTACCCAGGAGGGGTGAAAAAAATAATTTTTATTTATATATACATGGAAAAATGAGGGGGGGGAGGGGGAGTCTGTGAATACCTTCTAGAATTTCCAGCAGTAAGTAGAGTGGTTGTAGAGACATGAGAAAGACCTTCTATGATGCACTTGACCATCTTTGATGGCTTATGATTAGTATTCTCTGGTGTCCCAAGAACTGGAGAAAATACCTTGCAGGGTGTGATTGCCATATCAAGACCAATCCTTCTCATGCTCAGCTCATTCTGGAGATCTGGGATACATGTATTAGAATAGTATCGAAAATTAGAGAGCCCCTACCCCCGTATTAGAATATGTATTCCTACAATTAAAGCAAGTAGTGTAAAAGCACACTAATCATTCAATTTGGATTCTATGTTTTAGGATCTTTGAATTTTGTCGGCAAAACTATAAACATTCTACAATGGAGGGAACAGTGGCGCCAAACGTTGGAGAAGTAACGTCAACAGGTTCTCAGGGATACCAGCCAGAGGTACAGCATTTACATTTGGTTTTTTTGGTTGAAACACCTTGCAAATGTACTCAGCAATTTATCAAGGATGACATTATTCAATAAACACCAGAGTATAGTGAACTGAATACCAAATCTCAACATTTTGTCAAAAAGAAGATATTTGGCAAATGTATCCAGCTCTGCTATGTGCATAGTTTGGCTAGCTTAAATATTGCTATTCCATTTTCAGTTTAGTATAATTTGGTGTTTAGCGAATAAACATTGTATGTGAATATTTAGGAATTCGAAGTGAATTTCAAATTAAAAGCCAAAATAGCAAAACAGAAGCAACAGCTGATCTAAATATTGTATTTTTCACAGTTTTGCTATTTTGGCCCAATATTGTAATTTCACTTTTAATTTCTGACAATGTATACTTTAGTAAATTAACATATGTGTGCCAGTCATTTCCATAGCTCTGAATACCCCCTAAAGAGGAACACTCTGAGCACCATAAACACTACAGCTCACTGCAGTGGTTATGGTACCAGGAGTGCCCTGGGGCCCACTTCCTCCACTGCGAAAGCCAGAGAGCTGAATGTTTCTAAGCAGGAACTTCCGTTTTCCTGAGCTAAGCCCTGCAGTGGAGGGCTGAGCTCATTGGCTGAGAGTGATAAGCTGACATCAGGACAGGTTTTCTTGGTGCTCGGAGAGTTCCTTTGAAGGAAAAGACACCTCTTGATTTTCTTGGGAATCCTCTGTCAAATAGAACAGTAGGTCTGAGTTACAGAAACACTCCACGCTGGAGTTTCCCATTAATAAATATGTCTTAGATTGTACATTACAAACATGTATGCTAAAATGTTATAAGAATAAAAAATAATAATGTAAAACAAAATTTAAATTTGCTGTATGTGTCAAGGCTTTGCAGCTTCTGCATGGAGTTTTTCCCAGACCAAGAATGAGCCAATCATACTGATCCTATTATATTTTATGGCCATACTGATCTTCACTAGAGATGTCGCGAACTGCTCGCCGAACATATGCGATTTCCGGTCCGCCCCCTATTCGTCATCATTGAGTACACTTTGACCCGGAACCTCACAGTCAGCAGACACATTCCAGCCAATCAGCAGCAGACCCTCCCTCCCAGGAAGTGTCTGCTGACTGTGAGGTTCCGGGTCAAAGTGTACTCAATGATGACAAATAGGGGGCGGACCGGAAATCGCATATGTTCGCCCAACGCGAACACGCTATTGTTCGCCGGCGGACAGTTTGCAAACAGTTCGGCGAGCAGTTCGCGACATCTCTAATCTTCACCAGAAAGATGACAGCTGAACTCCCAGAGACCTCTACTGTGCCTAGTCTAGGGATAGTACAAGTGCTTGTATGGTAACAGGGAAGGAAAACTTTGTGTGCCATATTTGACTGAGGAGGTTGGGTTATAAGACACATGTAGGTTTAGCCACTAAAGTATAAATATCTGGGAATTTAAAGTATATTCAAGGGGAATTTCAGATTGTAGTCCATCAGAGCCAAATAAAAAAAAGTTGTACTCTTTAGACCTAAGAAATACATTCACTTTTAATGTTGTACAATTCACACTTTAGTAAATAATCCTATAATAGAAACAGGGACCTTGTTACCATATCCCATTAAATGAAATCCATAGTGATAGGAGTGTCCCGTTGACCCAGTCATGCTAGTGGACATACCATGTACACTACTGTAAAATTGGTCATTTGCAATAGCTCTCCTGAGGCACCATGTTGGCACACAAGGAAAAATCTAGTACATGCCAATCACGGCAGGTATTGGACTAATAATGGATGACTCCAGCATAAGAAATCCAGCAATATATTTGTAGAGGCTATGATTCTGAGCCTGCCCAAGGTTTGAAAAAAAAAAAACCTGGTCTTATCTCTCTATATGCCCCTCTGCCCCGTGATCTACACTGGGCTCTGCCAGCTGCCCAGCACCACAGTGTGAATGATGTGCAGCATCCAAGGGAGATCACGCTCTTTTATTTCAATCATACAGTACAGAGTGCCCACAGAGTGCTCTTTACTGTGTGAGCTGGGAAATCCCTCTGCTGATGTCCGTACTGACGTCAGCAGAGGGAATCCCTCTGACGTTTGATTAGGGTTAAGAGTTGGATTATGGGTAGGACTATAGGCAAGTTTAGAGGTAGGATTAGGGGCAAAGGTTTACATGTGGGGTATCATTGTACCCAAGAACAGTACCAGAACACAAATAGAGTAGTGGATCACACGTGGTCTGTAAATTTCCCCAAAGCAAAACACATCTGTAAAAAACAAACAAAAACATATTTTGAGTTTTGTGATAAAATGGTTAAATGAAAAGTGTCAAAATGCTTTTTAGTTAAATAGCCTGGAGGTGTTCTTTCTACATGTATGTACTTTTGTGTAGCAGTTTTGAATCCTGTGACTATAAAAGTTTTACTTTCAACATGCCAAATTTTGCAACATTTTAGCATTAACCCCTTAAGGACACATGACATGTGTGACATGTCATGATTCCCTTTTATTCCAGAAGTTTGGTCCTTAAGGGGTTAAAACCGTAATTCAATCCTTGAAGTATTTGTTTCACTTGTAAAATGTAATTGAAATCCTAGACATATTTTAACAATCAGGACTAATTAGTTAATCTATTTTGAGTTTATTTTCTTAAATCGCACTTGTGTAGAAATGATTAAATGTAAAACTTCTATTTCTTTTTAACTATTTTACACATATTCAACATTGTGTTAGCTATACATATGGCGTATCAAAAGAAAGTCCTGTTTATCTTTTTAAAAATGATATATAATAGGTATGAGCGGACTTTAACACAAAGGATGATATTTTGGTAGAATGAATGCATGGCAAAAGTGTCAAAAAGGCCTTGGTCACAAACACGACACATCTCAACAGAGCCCAGGTCTCCAAGGGGGTTACATTGCTTCCAGAGACTCTCCTAAAATGGAAACTTTCTTGTGGTCATATACAAAGGGGCACCTGGAAAAAGAAATCTGGTCTAAAAAAACTGGTCTGGACCCCAAATATATACAGATAAAGGGATTTGGGGCCCACACCCAGAACATGTATTTCTTAGTAGTAGTGTTGCTGTAAAGACCAAATTATTTACAAAATACACATTAAGGGAGCATCATGCACACACAAAATACAAGGCTACTGGCAAGATTTAAAACTGTATTTTTTTGTGTGTCCGCTGTTCCCTTAATCTGTATTTTGTATATATTTAGTTTTTTTGCTGCAGCATCGTTAATAAGAAATGCATGTTCTGGGTGTGCCCCCAATTCCCTTTCCTTTTTTTTTGTGGATATTTGAAATCCAGACCAGATTGGGTTTGGGTTGAACACCCCGCCCCTTTACTCTAGGTGAAGGTGACCACAAGAAAAGCATAAATTTGAAGTCTTTGGAAGCAGTTTAAGCAAGTAAGTACTGCAGTTTCTCGCTAGTGTGAAAATTGTCGTAACCCACAGATTTTGGGGTACTTTGGTGAAGAGGTGTAACTTGATATTTGTTTGCTAAGATAGGTGATTTTAAAGGGTTACTCCAACTACCATAACCACTTTTTAAGTGGTCACGGGGATAAGAGTCAGTATGTCCAGTGTTTCTGCTCGAAACACTGCACATCCAGGGATATTTGTAATTGTGTGATGTCAGGCGGAAAGGGTCCCCCCTCTTACAAGTAGGCTTGTAAGATTTAAAAGTGTGTTTTTGGTTTTCTAAAAGTGTTTTTTTGTTTTTCTTTAATGGTTATAATGGAAGTGACTTTATTAAGAAATGCATGTTTTGGGTGTGCAACGCGGTTCTAATTTTTCAAGTAAAAAAAACTCAAACAGCCATAAATGCTACAGCCCGGCATGTATTTTTTTTCAGAGTGGAATAATAGGCAGTCGGGGGCTTCTATTTTATCCCAGAAATGAGTAAGACCAGAAAAAAAAAAATCTGTGAAAAATGGCAAATTGTATCTATATGGGTGTATTGCTCTATTCCACTGGGCAGAAGTGGAATTCAGTTCTAATATCTTTACAGTAAAATGACCACAAATGAAATACACATACTTTTTCATTATATCTGATTTTTTTTTATGTGTGTGTTTGTAGCATTTCTGGATTGGATGGCCACTATTAACCTTGCAAACCCCACATACAAAATGTGGGCAGTGTACCTAGACATTAATGAGAAGAATGAGTTGTGTAGAAACTACTAAAAGTAACACAGTGCAATTTGTGTTTACATTTAAAGGGATAGTCCAACCAAAAACCAATGTCTTATGAAAACACTGGTTTTGATCAGAGTAACTGTTGCTATGCTGATTTCCCCCCATTCCAAAATAAATAAAGCTAAAAATGTTATCTTGCGCAAAGGCCTAGTTCTCCCTGTAGGTTGATCCACCACAGCTGATGCTATTCCCACTCACTGGAATTGTGTGAATGTTTGTAGTGTTCCTTTATTCCTGCCCCCCATAAAACAAAAAGATAAATTTTACTTAACCTCTTTCTCAAGCTGTGAGCCAGCTCTTGCTGCTTCACTCCAGTCTACTGTCAGTGACTACAGCGTACCCTGCCTGTCCAAAATGGACACATTAATGGAAATTGCATAGAAGGCAAATGTAGCAATCACCCAATAGAATGCTTTTCACAGATTGTTCAAATGGAGCGAATCAGGTGTGATTCCAAAAATCCAGTAAATTTTTGATACTATTTTATACATGCTAGAACATTTTGTTAACTTGGCTTCTTTTGCTGAATCATATGATCTACTGATCGTAGTCTTGTGCTAATATTCTTTATTTGTGCCTAAGCATGTGTTTGCTAGTGCTATTTCTGGTTAACACCTGGATTCTGGAGGTACCATTATTTATTAGAACATTGCCATTGGGCCTGCATGTTAAGTCCTTTTTATTGCAATAAATGCACATTTTCAAAAGGACACCTTAAGGTTTTATATATATATATATATATATATATATCTATATATATCTCTTAAGCTTAGTGTGTGCCTTTATGTATTTAGATTATAATAAAAAATAAACTTACCTGTGATCCAGCACCAAGGGAGTCCTTCCAGTATCTACTCCACCTCTTCTGTGATTGTCAGTTGTGATGACCTAGGCCAGTGATGGCTAACCTTGACACCAAAAATTGTTTCTGGACTACATTTCCCATTTCCCACATTATAGACTCTAAAAGCTAGCTGAGCATCATGGTGTCAAGTTTAGCCATTACTGATCTAGGCCCATTTCAGTGCTTTTCATAGAGAAGCATTGAATCCAGTGCTTCTCATATAGCTCTCTGTGGTCGTTTTGGAGCCTGGGGTGTCCAGGCTCCTTAAAATGTAAGTAGTGATTTCACTTCTTACCTGGGAAGACTGGTCACTGTCTCCAAGTGCTGTTAGCTCTCCTGAGCTAAATCCTTCTGTGCAGGGCCACCTTATTGGCTGAAAGTCAGCCCCAGGCTTAGTTCAGAGCAGAGCACTTCCAGCTTTCGGAGAGAAAGTGACTTATGCCCAGCAGACCCCATTAAGGATGTCAAACTTTTAGTAGGCTGTTTGACTACTTGCATTGGGTGTACTAGGGCACTTCTGCGGCGACAATTATTACTTGATTAACAACAAGGTATTGCACCTTTTTTGAAAAAAATATTGAATTACATACAATTTGTATTATTTACATGCTAGGGGAATTACAGGCTAGGGGACAGCATTAACTTTATTTAGGGGTTAGGAGACCTCACATATTTTATACTATGAGGGTATTGGGACAGCATATTTTGAAGTTAGGGCCTAACCTCAAAATATAGTTGATGCTGTCCCCGTAACCTCCTAATAAATATATGATGTCGTCATCTCAGAATAAATATGTGATGTCCCCATAACCTCAAGATAAAGTTGATGTTGTCCACCTAACTGTTGGGATTACCACATCAACGTTATTTTGAGGTTAGAGGATGGGAAAGCATAAACTTTATTTTAAAGTTAGGGCCTAACCTCAAAAATAAAGTAAAATATATGATGTCCCCTAATATCAGGTCCTGGGTGAAGAGGCAGAATCAAGGGCGGAGCCAAGGGAATGAAGATTTGCCTAGGCTGGCAAAAATTATTGACCAGCCCTGGGTGCCCAAGGTGCTTGAAAGGAAATGGCTGTCTAACTCTGGCCAATGTAGGCATAGATATGAGACTTTCCAAGACCTTGAGAAGATTTAAATGATCATCGTTAAAGATCTGGGAGACTTTCCGTTAGATAAGATTGATAAGGCCATTGTTAATGACCTGGACCTTTGAATCTAAGGTGAGCTTTGGCAAAAGCATGTTTAATTCATGACACTGACACTGTAGTCATACCAAGATGTGCCATGATTACATCATACCTAGATCATGGCAGTCTTGTCATACTTACATCATATTAATTGTGTGATATTATTTAAAGGCTATAAAAGAAAGCAAGATATTCTGTTAGGTAGAATATTGCTGAGACTGCTTGAATATTCCATGTTACACATTGTTAACCGTACTACCATATTCATTGACTTTAACGGACGGCCTGGAATGAAAATTATTAAACACGACACTGAAGAAGAAAACACTTGTTTGGTCTGACTCATATGCCTGTAACATAATGGTGGAGTGGGTCTTGTTTTCTCAAGCCTGTTAAAAGTGGGACAAAGACTGCAAACACTTCAAAATGTCCATCGTATCCTCTTGAGATCGAGGTGGACAGAAAATACTTTGAGAGCCCAATCTACATGGACCATATGGACAAACAGAGAAGTAAGTCCACCCCCGTCTGACCATGCAAGCTGGGACAAGGATTTGTTTTCCGGCGGCCAAGTGGATGCTTTTCATCAGAATGATAAAGCTGTCTCCGAAAAGTACTCTCCCACTTGAGGTCCCACAACGACGAAACATCTTGTCCTTGGTGAGTGATATAATATACCCAATGTCTTATTCTGTGTAAAAATTTATGCAAATAATGAACAGTCTTTGTACCATTGGCCACAGATTGGTTTACTAAATTAGGAGAGGGTTACAAAGATCCTTTTATTGTTGGGTCTGATCCTTAACTTAAACGTGGGAAGATTTTTTTTAATGTAACTTTGGTAAATAGAATAACATCTACTGCTGAAAGAGCTAAGTGTTAAATCACCCAAGATAAATAGAAAATCGCAGCCATATGTAAGGATTTGCTAGTTGCAGAATGACATATTTTGTGATCAATGTAAATTGCAACAGAGTATGATAAATTTAAAATCAAAAGTCAGGGAAAACTAGAGTTGAGCGAACCCGGGCTGTAACTAGAGTTGAGCGAACCCGGGCTGTAAAGTTCGGGTTCGTACCGAACATTACGTTTTTTTGGACCCCGGACCCGAACACTGACATATCACTGTATGTTGGGGTTGGAATTCGGTGTTCAGCGATTTAATAATGCGTTTTGAAAGGCTGCAGGGCAGCCAATCAACAAGCGTTTGACTCATGTGCCCTTAGAAGCCATCACAGCCATGCCTACTAATGGCATGGCTGTGATTGGCCAGTGCAGCATGTGACCCAGCCTCTATATAAGCTGATTTCTTAGTATTATTAAATTATCTCCCTACTCGCTATACCGCGAGTAGGGGCATGTCTATTAAACAGTGAGCAGCCTGTGGCTGCTCACTGTTAAAAAAACAAACATTCCCCCCTCCCCCCTGAGTGGTGGGTGAGGGCCATAAATAAAAATTGTGGGGGGGGGGGACCTAATGTCCTTTCCCCCCGGCCCCCACCCCAGAGCGGTGGGTGGGGGCCATAAATAAAAATTGTGGGGGGGGGGGACCTAATGTCCTTTCCCCCCGGCCCCCACCCCTGAGCGGTGGGTGGGGGCCCTAAATATCAATAAGGGGGGGACCGATTGTCCTCCGCCCTGGCCCCCACCCCTAAGCGGTGGGAGGGGGGCCTTAAATAAAAATTGGGGAGGGACCTAATGTCCTCCCCCCTGGCACCCACCCCTGAGTGGTGGGTGGGGGCCATAAATAAAAATTGGGGGGGGACCTAATGTCCTTTCCCCCCCGGCCCCCACCCCTGAGCGGTGGGTGGGGGCCATAAATAAAAATTGGGGGGGACACCTAATGTCCTCCCCACCCAGCCACCACCCCTGAGCGGTGGGTGGGGGCCATAAATAAAAATTGGGGGGGGGACCTAATGTCCTCCCCACCCGGCCCCCACCCCTGAGCGGTGGGTGGGGGCCATAAATAAAAATTGGAGGGGGGGACCTAATGTCCTCCCCCCCAACCCCCACCCCTGAGCGGCAGGTGGGGGCCCTAAATAAAAATGTAACCCCCAGTGACTAGGGGTCCCCAAACCCCTTGTCACCCCCCTCCCCCCAAAAAAATAACCCCTACCTAGCCCCCTCATCCTAAAAATAATGAGAGGGGACCCTTATCTAAAAAATTTTTAAAAGAAATCGACTTACCAATTGATGTTTTCTTTCTTCTAAACTCTTCTTTTTTCAGCCCCTAAAAAAGGCCAAATAAAAATCCATAATAACTGACGCACTTTAAAAAACAAACAAAAAAAACAGGGGCCATAAATAAAAATTGGGGAACCTAAAGTCCTCCCCCCTGGCCCCCACCTCTGGGCGGTTGGGTTCGGGCCATAAATAAAAATTGGGGGGGGGACCTAATGTCCTCGCCCCTGGCCCCCTAGCCTGAGCGGTGGGTGGGGGCCATAAATAAAAATTTCACCCCTACCTACCCCCCTCATCCTAAAAATAATGAGGGGTCCCCCTTATCTAAATACCTGTAAAAAAAAAAAAAAATAGACTTACCATTTGATTTCTTCTTTCTTCTAAACTCTTCTTTTTTCAGCCCCAAAATCCATAATAACCAACGCACTTTAAAAAAACCAACAACAAAAAACGAGCGCCAAAAAAAAAATCCTTCTTCACCCATGGAGGGCTTCGCGCAGACTGAGCTTTGCAGGGTGGGGAAGGCTTATAAAGCCTTGCCCCGCCCTGCAATTAGGCTCAGAGCACTCTGATTGGTGGGTTTAAGCCATCCAATCAGAGTGCTCTGACAGGTAACTGAAGAGACTGACAGGTAAGTCTCTACATTTACCTGTCACAGCACTCTGATTGGTTGGCTTGAAATCCACCAATCACAGTGCTCTGTGTCCTTTTACACAGTGTGGGAAAGTTCTTTGGAATTTTCTCACGCTGTGTAATTTGACTCATAACAACACTCTGATTGGTGGATTAAGTAACCAATCAGAGAGTTAGGAGTCAAATTACACAGCTTGGAAAAATTCCAAAGAACTTTCCCACGCTGTGTAAAATGGCACAGCGCACTCTGATTGGTTAGCTTGAAATCCAGCCAATCAGAGTGCTCTGATGGCCCAGGGGTGGGGGCCGGGGAGGAGGACATTAGGTGTGTCCCTCCAATTTTTATTTATGGCCCACACCCACTGCTCAGGGGTGGGGGCCGGGGGGGAGGACATTAGGTTCACCCCCAATTTTTATTTATGGCCCCCACCCCTAAGCGGAGGTGGGTGACGGGGGGGAGGACAGTAGGTCCCCCCCCTTATTGTTATTTAGGGCCCCCACCTGCCGCGGAGGGGTGGGAGCCGGGAGGGAAGGACAGTAGGTCCCCCCTTATTGTTATTTAGGGCCTATCTACTAAGCAGCTGCTTATTTTATGTTATTTTAAGTGATTTCCCTATCCACATTTATTTGCAGGGCACTTGTCCTACTCTTATCCCCATTTTACTTCCTTTTGCAGCCCTCTAGCCCTTTCCAGGACTTTTTTAGAGCCAAGTTCGGGTCCCCATTGACTTCAGTGGGGTTCGGGTTTGGGGTCAAGTCCGATCCGCAAACCCAGACTTTTTTTCCGAAGTTCGGCCGAACCCGCCGGACCCGAACATCCAGGTGTCCGCTCAACTCTAGTTATAACTTAAAAACTAAAATGTATCCAATCTCCTTTAAAATCCCTGGTTCAAACCAGTTAGGCAGTTAGTAGATCAACCACTGGAAAACAGTTTTTGAAGCTAATCCAGATCTTTATTTCTCTGTGAGGATTCTAATAACTGTTAGAGGTGCAATACAAGGAATAAAACAAAACAGAGGGATGGAGAGGAGTCAGGGGATGAATCTGAAGAAGGTGACATTTTCAACCTTCTGACTATCCTTGAGAAAGTTAGCACCAGGACCCTAATCTGTAAACATAATACATTAGCAAAGAGGCATTGAAGAGAGGACCACTATAGTGCCAGGAAAACAAACCTACCCCACCCTCAGGGTCCCACACCCGCTGGGCTGAAGGGGTTAAAAGACTTACCGGGAGCCTGGCGCTGGCGAACTCTCCTCCTCCTGCCGACATCAGCGACGAATGAACATGCGCGCAAGAGCTGCGCGCGCATTCAAACCGCCCAAAGGAAAGCATTTCTCAATGCTTTCCTATGGACGTCCAGCGTCTTCTCTCTGTGATTTTCACAGTGAGAATCGCGGAAGCGGCCTCTAGTGGCTGTCAGTGAGACAGCCACCACAGGCTGGTTTAACCCTCTATGTAAACATAGCCGTTTCTCTGAAACAGCTATGTTTACAGCTGCAGGGTTAACACTAGAGGGACCTGGCACCCAGACCACTTCATTGAGCTGAAGTGGTCTGGGTGCCTATAGTGGTCCTTTAATGAAATTAACAAACTGATCAAACACAGTGAAACATTGTGGCAGTTTGTTGACCCACTCTGATGAAAGTGAATGTTCTGTTTTTGAATGACTGTTTCCTTCCCAAACAAGATCAGCAGTTAGATCAACTATAATTGGCAAAGTCGTTGAAAAACAACATCAAGCAACAACATCAAAATATTATGATAAAAATAATCATTTCTATACTTGGGCGTTTTTGAAGGGGAACTTGAAATAGACTAAAAGAACAGATTAATTTATTCTCTACCTGCCTACCTTGTCCTGCTAGTTCTCAATGCCGAGGGCCAAGGCACGTACTCCCTCTCCCCAGCCCCCAGTGTATATAGACATTTGGTTTTGTTATTACTGCAAAAAGCCAGGTCATTTTAAAAGAGATTGTGAGAAAATTGGTGCAATAATCTGTTCAAGAGTCTAATGGTTGTACATTTTAAAAACATTGAATATATTCTAATGAGTCTACATATACCAGTGCAACCTTTACCACTCCAATTTTAGAACAGTGAATTTGCAGCATCTCCTTATGAGATTTGCACACATAGGCTAAAAGCAATGAGAAGAAATACAAAGCAGAAAAAATTACTTGCTGCGGTATCTTACTCTGAAGGTGTGATTAAAAGCAGGGGTTCTCAACCCAGTCCTCAGGACCCCCTCCCAGTCCAGGATTTGGGGATTACCTGGGTGTGTCTCAGGTGTTTAGAAAAAGGGAAAAAAACACCTTAGACACACCCAGGTAATCCCTAAACCCTGGACTGGTAGAGGGTCCTGAGGACTAACGTTGAGAACCCCTGGATTAAAAGGGTCTATTTTTTTTATTTTTTTTTATTTTTTTACGTGTTGTGAATCTAAAATAAAAACACTGCAGTTTCTCAAATTTACAGTGAAGGTTTAAAAGGACAGGTACACTGCACACAGACCACTTAATTAAAGGGACACTATAGTCACCAGAACAACCACAGCTTAATGTAGTGGTTCTGGTGTCCATAGCCAATCCCTGCAGGTTTTTCAATGTAACACTATACATTACTGCCTAGGAACACCTCTTGTGGCAGTCACTCAGATGGTGCAGCACTGACGTTTAGCATCTCCACACTCTGCACAAAGGCGCTGAATGTTTCTTATACGTATTCAATGCATCTCTACGAACAGATTCTGATTAGTGCATCAGGTTTGATTTCAGCCAATAGGGCAAAGCGGGAGCAGATCCAGCCGCAACAGACCCTCGCAGTGCTGGAAAAAGATAAGGCCTAAACTAATTTCAGATCAATAGTGTCATGTTTGTTTTCCTGACACTATAACGTTTCTTTAAAATGAAGTGGTGTGGGGGAGTATAGTATCCATTTAAACAGTTTTTTGATGAAACTGAACGCACTACAGATCCCGCAGGCATGTTTTCTGCAAGGAAAAATTATTCTACAGGTCCATGGGATGCTAATTAGGAAAGTATTGTCATTCTCACCCAGGTAGGTATTACGTTTTGAGAATTGACAGAAAAAAATGTTTTGTACATATTGATCAAAGCAAATTGAAAAAAAAGGAAAATGTATAAATGAATATGGTTACTGGCACCTGTTTCCTATGTTTCAGATTTGGAATAAATGTGGATAACTATTGCGAAAGATAATAGAACTTTGTACTATATAATTGGACCTTTTTGGACTTTCAAAAGAAGATTTTAAATCATCGAAAGACAAGCATTCACTGATGGCACAAGAATTGCTCAGACCTACAAACACAAAAAATATTGAAAGAACGATGGATTTAGCTGATTTGTTATGTTTTAAGTGTATTGTTTCAACAACATGTTCATTCTGTGAGGTCATCAATGGTGAAAAGTACATATGGGATTATTCTATAATGATTAACGATACACAAAACATGGTTTGGTTTCACGAGACGGGAGTTAGGAGTTGAAATGTAAATTAATGTGTTTTTATTTTACGGAATTTATGTCATAGTGTATGCTTATTGAGACTAATTGTTGACTAAAATATTTTCCAGAAAATCCCACACAAATAAAATCTATAGCCACCAACATATGAGATCTAATAGAGATAGTGTACCTAAACATTTCAGTAAAACAAGGCATGGGTTGCAGCTTGTTTATGGATAATCATTTGATTCTATATCTCATTTACAGGGTTGCCTATAGTTGGTTGTAAAATCACAACACTGAGAAAACAGTGTATTGCACCACTTAGTGGAAATGTACAAATGCATATACAGGCCAAGTTTCCCAATAAGAATTTAATGATGGACATTGTACCAATACGATATCTGATAGGAGGTATTTTTTAAACCAGCAAGCCAACACTTTTATACAAAAACACAAGCCAGAATAAATCAAGAACAACTCTAATAAATGTTTATAAACTTGGTCAGATTTCATTATTAGGCACGCCTCTCCGCTAAGGCAGTTTCTTCATCCACCCATCTCCGTTTCAGACCAGTCCTCTAATGCCAGAAATAGGGCATCATTGTGCATTAGCAGGGGAGAGAAACACAACACAAGAGTCTGCTCTGCATGAGCACGTTGGTCAGACTTTCTTCTTTTTTGATACCCCTGTAAGGATGTTGCAAGGTGAAGTGATCTTCAAACTGCACATGTGTATATGTGTCAAACATGCCTAATGCACATTTCCAGCATTCCTAGGGATAGAATCCTGATTGGTTAGTTCAGTGACCTCCCTGGAGGAGCTGTGGAAAGCATAAGAAAGAAGCAGGTAAATTGAAAGAAAAAAATCGTACTTACCTGTTTTCTAAGGCTGCAGATTGAGGCAACTGTCTCATTCACAGCTAACGCTTTTGAATTAGACAGTTGTCTCAAAGTGATATATGTGCCTTTAAGCCATTCTTTAAAATTTACGTTTACTGATATGTTGCTTCCTCATCTGTGATTTCTAGACTACCAGTACTCTGAAATGCACTGATGTGCTGGAGGCACAGAGATACACATTGCAAACTACATTTATTGTAATAATTTACTAGCAATATGCCTTGAACAATTTATAGCTGAAGACCTATTGTCATTCCATTTTGTAGTTATGCTCATGGTAGGAGCTCTTTAATTTTTGTAAGTTTTTACACCATCAAATACAAAATCCCCATTATAAACGGCGAGATACAAAGTGTATTGTAAAAGTCACTTACATAACATTCAAACACGAATAGCAAATTGGAAACAAAGATGAAAGGATTTGCATCCAATTATCTGTAGACAGACAAGATTAAAAAAAATCAAGGACATGTTTAAAGATGGATTGCGAACTGATATAATAGAAAAGTGAAGAAACCTGGTTTCTAAATTAAGGCATGGATTCAATGAAGTTAGGTGGATAAAATAGAGCTAAAAGAAATCTCGCAGTTAACTATGTGAATCCAGATTTGTGATAGCTGACCTGTGCCACTCCGACTCTTTCTGTATTTTAGATTTCTGTGATCCTTAGATCTGAAGGCAGACTGAAAATCTTTGGTACAGAGTTAGCCAAAGGTTATCTTACCCATGACCAATATAAAGTGCAAAAGATAATTTATAAAAATGCCAGCACAATGGCCAACAAATGGTTCAGAGCAAGAGAAACAAATACCATTAAAGTTTTTTTTCCAACCTCTTAGTCATATAATATATACAACATACAATATTAAATGCAAATGAGTATTTACAATAGGCCTTGCATATTTGCATAAAATGCCATGAGTCGGTGCCACAGACAAGAGAGACACAATAAAGTTGACTTTTATTTTTTTTTTGACTTACAAACATTATATTAGGCATTAGATCTTATTGTTTCTCCCCAAATCAAGGTGTTAGTGGATAAATCTGTCCTGTAAGGAAAGGGATATCCAGCATATTCTGTAAATCGGACCCCAGCTGAGGAATGCCAACGTAGTAGGGAAATTGGAACCTCTGTCTACATTTAACTGGTAATTATGGCTAAACACTAAGGCTGCCTCTCGGAGCTGTCCATCATGCAGCCTGGAAAGACAGTTTGACTATCATTGATTAATGGAGTATTTTATTCCCAATTTCACATTTCATCACATCAAATATAAATACATTTTTTTATTGTAAGACACAAAGAATTTTCATGGTATGTGAAAAACAATAGCTCTTTAATTTCACCTTTTTTTTTTTTAATGTTACAGTTTGTTTTGATTTTGTTTTTAAATTTAAAAGGACTTAGACATCTAAAACCTCTCTGACCTGGTTCAGGAGAGATATGTGGAAGCACTTTGCCTTTCAAAATGATTTGTTCTGAAAATAACGCCCTTAAAGAAAAAATAGCACAGTAACGTGGCCATTTTCTTGAAATGTTTCCGTACACTGTCAGGGTAACTTATATCTCTGTACACACACTTAAATTGGTTCCAGTTATACTATATATCTGTCATTGCACTCCTATCGCCTGAATGTTGGCTTGTTAGAGCAATGGTAACCAGAGACACCCAAGTTTGGATCCTGGTCAGACACATTATGATCTACCGCCTACAAATCTTCATAGACTGTAAACTGAATGAGTAGGGCATTTTTCAATTCTAAGTATCATCTTTCTATAATTGTAAATCTCTGTGGAATAATTTGGCACTATATAAAATAACATATTTTTTAATACTTTTTTTCCCCATAGATTAAAATGTCTATCATACTTAAGTAAGCAATAATAAGGAACTATTGCTATCATCCCAAAATAGGTTGAAATGCTCATGTCCATGTCTCCTAACTGTCCCACTTTCAATGGGACTGTCCCGATTGTTGGGTCCTGTCCCACAAACCCACTTTAATCCTGGACACCAGGCAGCTGTCATTGGGCAGCAATAGAGCATGCATAGATTGAGAGCATCATTAGGCCCGCTCGCACTGTGCAGCAGGCACTAGGACCATGCAGTCTTTCCATGGTCCTCTGTGCCAGTGCCCCTCAAGGCACAGCTAACGGTCCAGGATTTAGGGATTACCCAGGTGTGTCAAAGGTGTTTACAAAAAATAAAAACAGATTCTAAGGTGTTTTTTTTCTTTTTCTAAACACCTTAGACAAACCCGGGTAATCCCTAAATCCTGGACTGTTAGCTGTACCTTGAGGAAAGGGTTGAGGAGTACTGTTCTATGGGGCTGGCCAGGAGGCTGTCTGTGAGTCTGACATGCTTGAGGACAATCTAAATATGTAGAAAAACATGTTGGTATTCCTAACACTATGGTGTTCCTTTAAGAAATATTGAAAGGCACAAGCACAACTTAAGTACATTTGACAGGTTTTGGCCTTATATTAAATAATGTTGTCATTTTTACCACATTTAGATATCTTTCATTTAAAAAAAAAAAAAAAAAAAAGATTGTTAAAAATAGATATTACTACCGTAGTTTCTAACCCCTTCAGCCAAATGCACTTAAAGGAACATTATAGCGTTAGGAATACAAATCTATATTATTAATGTGCATTAAAAAAATAAATAAGTTTTACTCATCTTTGTAGCTGCTTAACCCCTCAATGTCACACAGGAGCCTCCTCCAACGATGTCCGATCCATGCACCTCATAGTGCATGCACAGCGATTGCCTCACACATCTTTAAATTTTCCTGTAAGAAACCATTGAGTTAATGCTTTCCTACAGGGAGCCTCCTGTGTGTGATATAAAGTTCAATTTACAGAGTAGGAGGTAAACACTTCTAAAGTAAGCTCACATCTGATTTAAAATTAAACAATTTTTTTCATGCAGGTTGTGTCAGTCACAGCCACATGAGGTGGCTAAGGCTGCATAAACATAAACAAAAGTGATGTAACTCCTAAATGGCAGAGAATTGAGCAGTGGCTGATCAGAGGAATTATCTATATACCCAAGCTGCTTCATGAAGCTAAAGTTGTTTTGGTGACTATAGTGTCCATTTAAATTGTGTTATTGCTTAGAATGTCCCTTTAAAGGGTTACTCCAACCCCTTTGAGATGGGGAAAACTTTCCAGTTTAAAATGCCTTATTGGCCACTATGGAGAAGGTACCCCTTTCATTTCCAGTACAACCTGCAAAAAAAAGTTTCTACTCGCCTTGAATCCAGCTCTGAGCAATGATTCCAAGCTGATCTTCTGTGCTGCCTCTGGCATCACGCGCAGTCCAATCACAAGTTTCTCATAGAGCAACCTGTGACTGGACCATTCTGCTGGCTCAGAGCACATGGATATGCTCTGGACTGGCGATTGAAGGGAGGGAGTGGAAAGGAGAGAATTATGTTTTAAAAACAAAAACAAGCCAACTATGTGCAACGGAGGGAGTGCAGTGTTGGTGGGAAAGGAGAATTAGCTTCCGATTGCAGGTGATCAATGGGAAGATTATCACGTCTGTAAGCAGCGTGCAGTGTTCACTAACGACAGACCTTTTATATGCACAGAATTGACACTAGGCTGCCCGAAACAGAGTTCTGGGCTGCCAATGTCACCTGTGCTAAGGATACAACATGCCCCCAGCACACAATTAGGAATTGCTCTGAATGTGCAGTATGTCAAGCAGAAACACTGCACATACAGACTCCTACCACCATGACCACTTCAAATCACTGAAGTGGTCATGGTGGTTGGACTAACCCTTTAAATCCCAACACTATCAGTCGATTTGTAACTTTTTAAAATGGAGTTTACTACAGTATTAAAAATGTACGCATAATGTGCACAGGATAATGTATGCCTGACTCATTTATAACAATGCCTGAAAGTAATATATAATGTACAAGTTCTGGTCAGTGAGTTATCTCTAAGGAGGATATGCTCCTAAACTAGTAACCTTTATAAGCCTGGTCTTCCCCCAGAAACTGAACTCCCTCAAAAAATATGCAAAGACTTATATACATTCCAGTGCAGTGGTCACTTTCTCCCTACAGCCCGATCTTTCCCCACTGACGTCACTCCCCGTCAGGGGAGACGGTGGGAGGACAGGCTGAGGGGAAGACAGGTGCACCACAAAGTGGGGACTTCACCACTATTGGCTATCTTTTGCCAGTGTACGGCGTCAGATGCCAATTTTGCACAGAATTGATATTAACCAGCTCAGAACACTTGTTTCAGACTAGCAAATGATGAGTTACATCTCTGGTAGCAGAGTAATTAATCGCCCTATGTGCTGCGTCTAGACTCTAGGCACAATCACCACTGTAAAATCACTGAAGTAGTTATGGTGGTTGGAGTAAGTTCTCTTTCATATGTTTCCATCCTCCATATATTTTTAACTCATCTCTCAGCTTTCAGATCATATCGAAACATTTCAGACACGTTCTCTGTGTATCAACCTTGGACCGATTTTCATTTCTGTCTGGATAATCCTATTTATTATGGTTAGAATTTTCACTTGTAGCTGTGTAAATACAAATATATGGTTACTCTGCATTTAAATAGAATATTAAAGCCCAACACCTTTAATAAGCTTTTGAGGGTAAGCTGTCATGTTACTTACATTTTTACCAGTAGTCTCATGCTGATTTTGCGTTGATACCACCAGAATTTACATTGACAAGAAGACATTTCGTATTTCAGAGAAAGGTTTAATAATAATTTTGGTAATGAGTCCAGACGCTGCCTTTCTGAGTAAATTGCCTTTCTTTTACTTTTGTAGATGAATCTTCGTTCTGTTTTTACTGCAGAACAACAGAGAATATTGCAGAGATATTATGAAAATGGTATGACCAATCAAAGTAAGAGTTGTTTTCAGCTCATTTTACAATGTGCGCAAGAAACCAAGCTGGACTTCAGTGTAGTCCGGGTAAGTACCCCATAGAAACTGCATTCAGGGTTGTTTTTGTTACAGAAATGGGAGTTGACCTGGAATTTGCAGGTTTAATGCCAAAGTGGCCAAAGTTACAGATTGACAAACTTTATACACATAGAGGGAGATGGAATTCCTGCGCTCATTCTCACTTTTTAGGTCCATAGTTTTCTAATTTAGAACACTCGTATCCATTATCAACTCTTACATATATGGGTGTGATATCCCAACCTGTCCTTGACTGGCCTTGGTTTTTGTATCGGCTTCTTATAATACATGTTAGTTTAGTTACATATTCCCAACATTTACAAAGAGCTATTTATACACCTTATGGATATTGGAACTGCTGCAAAAGCAATTTAACAGAATTATTTACTAAATTGAATCCATCTGAAAATCTGCATTCTCCGATTTATATATATAGATAGATATGTATATAGAGAGAGAGTACTGTTATGCATTACCTGCATATCTCAATGTAGACTTTGAGATGTCCCCTTGGGCACAGAATCTCGAGAAATCATGTTTTACAACTATCCCAGAGTTCCCAGCGTGACATGCAAATAAGCATAGACAGGCATCTGTTCAACTTGAGCTATGCATTTGAAGCATAACAGTATGTTTCTATTTGCTATGTGGGCAGTTTTATTGTGTTTAGTTTGAAAACATTGAAAACAAAATAGCTTATTGCCAATAAATAATTATCATTATCACCTTAAAAAGTGTAAATATCTATGACTGCCATGTTTTAGCCAAATTTAGTTAGTGATAAAAAGCATGTTTATATAAGATTAACTGGAGTTAATGCCAGCCAATCAGCAGCAGACCCTCCGTCCCAGACCCTCCCACCTCCTGGACAGCATCCATTTTACATTCATTGTGAAGCTGCATTCTTAATGAGCTGTCCAGGAGGTGGAAGGGTCTGGGAGGGAGGGTCTGCTGCTGATTGGCTGGAATGTGTCTGCTGACTGTGAGGTACAGGGTCAAAGTTTACTCAATGATGAGTCCGTGGCGAACCGTTCGCAGCGAACCGTTCGGGTCATCACTAGTTATGAAATATCAAATATTCAAATAATTTTTAAAATATTAAATAATTTCTAAATTTTGTCAAAAAATATTAAATCATTTCAAAAGCTTATCCAAAATTATTAAATCGAAAACAATAGTAGGAGACATTTTCCATCACTTATTAAGTAAATTGCAGAGATGTTTATATCTAAACTGTGGGTATTCATAAATAAAATCTCTGGTTTGTTTTAGACGAATACATTGCTCTATAGATTTCTAAATTACCTCTTTACCTGAGAGATAGCATGCAAACACAGGCAGTAATATTGCCCATTAACATGGCACCGGCGATGGATTCTTCTGTATTATCATGTAACCCTAAAGGTAAATGTGTCCAATGTTCTACAGGCTTTTCCAAACTCCGGCCCTCTAGATGTTGCTGAACTACAACTCCCATGATTCTCAGTCTATCTATTTAATTGATAGAATCATGGGAGTTGTAGTTCAGCAACATCTAGAGGGCCGGAGTTTGGGGAAGCCTGTTCTAATACAACCAACATTAAGTTTAGCAACCATGTGTGTTCCATATGTAAGATGAAAGCGAATGCTGTTATTAAGTGGTTTCTGCAGTGTGTGGTTTATATGCATATTTATCTTTCACTGACATTTTATATTTCTTACACTGTAAAAGCCCCTGATGAAAAAATATGCCAGGTTAAGTGCACAGATTGCGTACAGTTACAACGTAACACTGGAAATGCAATGATCTTTAGTATGATGGATGTGGGGCATGGATCAACTTCATTCTAAGAAGAGTCCAAGTGACAGCTAGTGAGCATAGTATCCTCTGATTGACTACGCAGAATGGTTGCTGAGTCTTACCTTCCACATTGTAAAATTCGGAGGAATCCAGTGTTGTATCAAGCTGCATATGGATAGGTAAAGCAGATACTTTATTGGGGACATACAATAAAACAAAAAAATGAAAAACGTCCCACTTATCTTTTTATCAGTGATATTTTTTACGAGTTTAGATAGGTTGTCTTCCGGGTAATACTCACATGACGAAGAAACGGTAAATTGCTTTAACCCCTTAAGGACACATGACATGTGTGACATGTCATGATTCCCTTTTATTCCAGAAGTTTAGTCCTTAAGGGGTTAAACCGTAATTTCAGCAAGGGCGTTTGGTGTTTTTTGGGGGGTTTTGTTGATCCCAGAAATCATGCAACAAAGTTGTGAAGAGTGCCATTTGTATGGGGTGTTGTGACATTCAAATTGAATTAAAATCCAACTCTCTCTGAAGAATGCAGGATTTTCCATGAGTTTCATTCTCTTCCAGTGACTGAATGTTCTGACTCCTGATTTTTGGTGAACCAAGTGACTGGCTGAGATAATTCAGCCAGTCTCTTGTCTCCAGTTATTTTCAGCATATAAGATCTTTTGGTGCCTGTACTGCCCCTTTTAAACTGGCCTTGCACTATGATATATTATATGATAAAACCTTAATCAATCAAGTTGAAATGACACTTCCTGAAACCTGTGATGTAATTCTGACCCTGGAGTTCTTAAGAGAGTTGATTACTTAAAGTACTGGTGTATCAGTCAACATGTCTTTTACAGTTAACTCCTGTTTATGGTTTGTTCTCTTAACACCTCTTGGTAACCGTAATATTTCCTCCCACACATGATAGTCTTTAGCATTGTACATAATATTAGTGTAATCTATACCTCTTCAAACAATAACATCTACAAACACATAAACAGATTTTAAAATTACGTGGGAAAGTGTTCTTTAACAACAAGAATAATCAAGTAGAAATGAATACACCTTGCTCTGATTGGGAAAAAAAACAGATCTCATCAATTAATTCAAAAAAACAAAACCATTTCCAAAGATCATAAATTGAGTGCCAAATATGTTATTGATTTGTGTGCAAAGCCAATATATGATGTATTGATCACTTTGTCTGTTGAACGTAGCAGATAATAATCTGACTTTATAATTCATTTGTTTGATTTATGGACATTCAGGTATGCTTTAGTAAATCCTCAAATCTAAAACAATAGTGAAGTTTAATAATCTTCAGTTATTCCTAAGGACGATGTTATCTTTGTCACCTGCTGTTCTATCTTTGTCGAGACCTCTAAAATCTCTCTAGATTCTTCTCACTTCTTCAAAGTTCATTGTCAGCCATATAACCAGGTAAGAGATGCAAGTTTCTTGCTATTTAACTTGCATTCATATTTACAATATGTTTTCTTCATAGACTTGGGTTGGAAACAAAAGGCGAAAAATGAGCAGTAAAAACTATTCAGATTCTGGAGCTGCAACACAAGGGTCATTGTCCAGCTCTCCCTCACGTCCCCCTGATGGACCTGTCAGGAATATACCAAATGTAAACAGAAGCCAACCTCCTCGGACTTCTTCGAATAGTGATCTGATCATGACCTGTGTCTACAGTCCTAATAATTCTTCAGTCAGACAAGGGTCCACACCACAAGCCACAGTTCCCAAGTCTGACGTTTTAAAGCCCACCTTGCAGAGGCCAACCTCAAGGAGTGACACAGAGTATTTGAAACTTCAGAGTCCTGTCCAGCGCCATGCAGTGCCCCTTTCAAAAAGTTCCTTGCAGCAACTTGATGATAAAACTGTTATGCTATCCCGACAGCCAAGTGTAGCAAATCCTCCAAACGCACTGTACAACAAGAAGAACTTTGGTGGTGCTTCTGGTCAAATACTAGAAAGGACAGCTCCTCAGAAACCAATGACCTGGACTTTAAAAAGTGTAGCAGAACCTCCGGGTGTCCAAAGGATACATAAGCCAGAACAACCAACTGCAAGCCCAGTTTCACATGGTTCTGTGCTGCAGCGGAGCAGAGACTCTTCATGTGGCTTAAAAAATCTGGAAATAAGGGAAGTTTTCTCATTGGCTGCTTCTGACCACCCTTCCAGGACTCTTGGAGCATGTGTGGTGGAGAGACCCAGGGTGGTAGAAAGCAATTGTTTTTCTATTGCTATGGAAACAGGAGATGTTAACGATGAGTATGCTCGGGAGGAAGAACTGGCATCGATGGGTGCACAAAACCAAGCTTCTTCAAGGTTTAGAGAAATGAACAATTCCCCTCACATGGAGACCAGAAGCACGTTATCTCCAGTAAAGACAGGAAATTGTAAGACACTTCCAGCCAACACAAGAGACTTACCAGAAAATGTACTGTATCAGAACAGAGACTACTATATGTCACATAATACCTCAACACACAACACAACCAACACACAATACACGGGTGGTAATGCCCCAAGGAACAATATACATCCACATTACACAGTACCCTCTCAACCAAGACTGTCACAGAACCAAAACAACTACCAGGTAAGTCTTTCTTTACTTGCATCTCGGTTTTGCTTTATATAAACTTTTGAGAGGCTGGAAGACCATAGTTAGATAACATAGCTTTCCTCTTTAACTCAAAGTATCTTTCCAATGCCATATCAATTCATATATTTATACATTAGTCTGCAAAAAAGTGCATGGATTAGGGGACTTGATGACCTTTGCATTTAGGATTAACTAATGCAAAATCGGTTATAGATAAAATCACTCTCATAGACAGCCTTTGAGCATCACAGCGTTTTTCTGCTCATGGAGACTTGAGTCCCAATGCTTCCGTATGGGGAAGCTTCGGCTTGGCTGAGATCATCAATCATGATGATCTCAGGCAGGGAGGCGGATTTGCAGCACAGAGACCAGCGACATGCAGGATGTAAGGTAAGTTAAACTTTTTTCTACCCTTGCAGGGCAGGTAGGTAGGGTAGGTACATAGATAGGGAAACAATATAGCGTTAGGAATACGTGTTTGTATTCCCAACTTGACAGTGTTTCTTTAAAGGGACACTTTAGGCACTATGAACACTTAATTTCATCAAAGTAGTCATGGTGCCTGAAATGCTCGGGCACCATACCTCTGTTCAGCGTTTAACTGTTTTTGTGTAGATTAACACTGAACGAGGGTCCCTGTCCCACAGCCTAGCAGCCACCAGAGGTATGGCTAAGTCGTAGATTGCATTCTACCATACCCATACCATTCCATACCAGCTGCGGGTGTCTGTGATAGGCTGAGAGCATCACATCTACATACTCAAGAGCTGCCATTCTAAGCTAAAACCTTATGATAACATTAAAAAAATGACTATAGAATTCTAAAAAATGTGGCCAGAAAAAAAGTTGTTGCTTTTACAAAATGCTATTTTTTTTTTGATTAAGGCAAGAAAAACCAGGACAAATTAAAAAAATAAAACAACTAAGCCAAATTTTGATAAAGGATCGCTGAAAACATGACAAGTCTGCTTTGATTTTTTTTTTTTCTGAATGAATTATATGTAGGAAGGATTAATTTTCTCAACAAAGAATGTCATTGTGCGGGCTGTTTTTATTTGCGGTTTAAATTATTTGATTTCATTTCTCAAACGCCGCCTGTTGAGTTTTGTTACTGATTGTTGCTTTTTTTTACGCAGATATCAGGAAACCTCAGTGTGCCTTGGATTACAGAGTGCTCTAGAAAAAGAACAGTAAGTGGTTGTAATTAAGTAGCATTTGTGCATCTAATGAAAATTGCATCCTCATTGTGCTTAGAAAAAAATGGCCTCGCTCTGCTCTTATAGTAAAGAGGAAAATACATTAATCTCCATGTGTTTTCTGAGATTTACGTAATAGGTGTGAACTGGTTCTAATTTATTTTAATGTAACCCTTCCTAGTATAATTACTCACGCATTCCCCAACAGAATTCAAAGAGAAATATAGCTTTAATAGAGATGCATATTAACATATAAATTGTTTTTAATATTTCTGCATTTCCCCCCCCCCCTTATTTTAGATTTATGTAGACATAATGTAGAGTTCTTCATATTGTATCTGAGCTCACCATATTTAACGCCATATTTAAAGGGGCAGTCTAAGCAATAGAGCCACCATAACCACTTCTACCATTTTGAAACCATTTGACAAAAAGACTCTTCTTCAGCCAGCTTGGTAATACAGAATTTATATTTCCACGTTATTAATACGAGTTTCATATTCTTGGCTAAAGGTGCTGGGTTAACCAGCCTTTTATGTTGAAATGTAAATTTATCAATGTGAATATGGGCTGTGGAGAAGAGCTGGAGAAAGCCACATTTTTTTGTCAAAACAATACAATCCATTCCACTGCGCTGTAGTAGTGGCTTTGTTGTTTAGACTGCCACTTTAAGTCATATTTAAAGGAAACTTGAAATTCTGACATGATGACAGATCCAAGGAGACGCTTAAAGGATCACTCAAAACACCTAAAGCACATTAGCTTGCTGAAGTGATTTACGTGTGAAGTGTGTTCTTTTTCTTTTTTTTTCCTTTTTAAAAAAAGTGCAGGTTTTAATAAAAATTGGCATTTTTAGAAATTAACTTTGTTATACCCCGTGGCTGTCAATCAGATAACCAATCCTGTTACTTCCTGGTTTGTTTAGCTCCGTAAAGCTAAACTGAAGAGGCAGCTAGATATTGGCCAGATCACCTGCCTTGCAAAGATTTTCACTGAGCCGGGGAAAAGGAAAAGGGCTTGCAAAGGATGCAGACAAACGATCTGCAGCATTTACAAGCTGTTTTTATATATACCCCTAATGAAAAAAATGCATAATTAAATACATGCATGTTATTAGAGATAGGACTACTAAATTGTGTTTTTTTTTTCTTTTTATGTATTTGTGCAATAAAGAGTCCCTCTAAGGAGCATTCAACCTAATTTAGGGTTACTCAGTGAAGTGTGAACTGCGTATTGAATTAAAATTACGCCAAAATAATTTAATTGGAAAGGGAAATCTCCTTTTTTTGCTATGTTTTTAGTTCAGCTATTTTGGTCTTGCATTTGAAATTAATTTTAACTTTCAGTAATTCACTCTTCACTCACATTTAGTTTTTTAGTTTTTTATATTTTTTTTCTTCATTCTTGATATATTCTTCCCTCTCATTATCTGTTTGTCATGTGAAAATATTTACATTTATGAACATTAACCCGAGTTTATTCAGATGCACACTCGTCTTTCAGTAGCCGTCACATTTGTGGCCATTGGCATAAATGTAAGTGCTAAACAAACACAAATATAATTCTGATTCATTTTCATCTGTTAGCAGGATGGCGATCACAGCGTATGAATGAAACTTTATTTTAATCTAGTGCTCTTTTCTATGCTCTACCTTTATACAAATTTGGTGGAAAGCTGATTTTGCATGCTAATGAAATATTCCATTTTGTGAGCCCCTTTATAAGATCAAATTTTCTCCGTGATCGGTTTTGCAGTCTAAATGACTCAATGGTTTGAAGTATTATTGTAAGAAATGCTGTAGAGGAAGCAATTCTCAGTGGGGAATTTGGAGCACATGGGTACAGCGGTTTGTTTAATCAAAGACCCCATGAGGATATAGAGACACTTCTAACATTAGCAGGCTTAGCCATCGCTCACAATAGAACTTTAAATAATAAGTGAGACAGGTTGGACACTCTATGGGGTTTAATCACTAAACAGTGTATTGCTTTCATTTAAAAATCAAAGAGCAAAGTTTGTAAAACAGCGGAATTGGGAGCATGTTTCTCATACTGCTATATTTGCCTAAATGTTCTTATTCTGTTTTTTTAAATTTTTTAAATTTTTTAAATTCATTACAATTCCCAGTTATAATAAAGTCCTATGTAACGATGGCACCGCTGGGTCTGTGATACATAAAGTAAATCTGTCTTACAGCTATGGCGTTCAGGATTTTTACTAAACTGTGAATTCACCAGGGAATTACAAATTATAGTGCAAAATAACCGAATCTGAAAAAAAATCCATCTCCATTTCCAACCTCTGGCATTTCAGCCAAATATTTGCTATATACTGGTAATTTCTTACTATTCTTGGTTTAGTGCATAACAACGATGGTGTCATCATTAAAGGTACACTCCGGTCACCATAATTAAGTTGTTACAGTGCCAGGAGGCCCCTGGGGGCACTATTACTTTAAGGGGTTAAGCTATTCTCAAATGGTTTAACCACAAAGGTTGCCTCCAGCGCCAATCTCCAGCTTCCCTACGCGGCATCCGGCTTCTGAATCTGATTGGCTGTTAATTGGCTAGAATGATTAGCTGACACTCCAAGTCAATCATTAGCTCCCCATTCATACAAAAAAAAAGTTTTTATGAATGGGGAGTTACTGATTGGTTTAGAGCCTCATCTCTCGAACAGTTTAACCCCTTAAGGTAAGAATGTCTCTGGCGGCCTCTTGACACAATAACAACTTAACTTAGATTAAGTTGTTATGGTGACTGGAGTGTTCATTTAAGGTAATCGTGTTTTCGCTTTAACATGTTACACAGAGGCTTTGTCATTTACCAGCTGCCATATACACAGTAGCCGTTCACAAACCGTCATGTAGTGGTGGCTACCATATCCTATTTGCAAATACAAGCAGTCCTTCCACATGTGACTTTGTTGATATAAACCAATTAAAGAGAATACCACAGTACGAATCGTGTTCTGTTCCATCCAAACTACCGTAATTACATTTTTTTTTTTTAAATAAAAAAAGTTCAGTGAGATTTTTTTTTTTTTAAATGGCTAAAAGCATGTGTTGTCAGCAGCCAATCAGAACTTATTATTTAAGCAGATGCACTATTTAAAGGGACATGCTAAACACTATACCCACTTCAGCTCAAGGTAGTGATCATGTTGTAATAATCTTTGGGCCCTACCTCCCCTGGTTCTTTGCCAAACCATTTAGAAAAGATTTGAAAAAAATATTACAAGTTGCTGTCCACCAGGATAACACCTACTTGGCCACATTGTTACTGCAAAATTTGCACAGTCACATTTTCAATGTCAATTTCGCCCGACCTGCAATGTTTGGATGAAGTTAATGTCATCAATGTTGAGTTTATGCTCTAGTTATTATTATTTAATTATTTATATAGCGCCAGCAAATTCTGTAGCGCTGTAGAATTGGTGGACTATCAGACACGTAATTGTAACCAGCCAAATAAACACACAGGAACAGAGAGATGTTAAAAGAAATATAACTTGTATTTGTGTGAGGGCAAATAAGGCCGTAAAGGAAATAAAAAGGGGGAGGGGAATAAGTCGGTTGTGGTGTGCCGGAACCGACGTCGTGGTAGGCCTGGAATAAAAGAGGGCCCACCCATGAGGTGTAATGAAAAGTATAAATAAAGGGAGTGGAGGGTGGGGACAAGCAAAACGTCAAAACAGAAACGGGACTGAGGAAGGTGAGGAAGGGGTTTAAATAGGTTAACATGCCCCTCCCACAACTGCAGGCCAAGCCTTCACATTTATGGATATTACTGGGATCTTCTATCTTGCGTTTTCTGCAGATCCCATATCAGGGGTTGATTAAAATGTAAATTGTTATCAGAAACAACAAAAAGACAAACCCTTATAAGGCGGGTACAAAACCTATCTTAGAGTCACATACAATCTTAGCACAAATATAGCTGAGACCTACATAATCGTTGCCACCCTTTTTGCGACTTCCAAAGCCTTATGTAAGACTATTATCTTAATGCTAATGTTACCTGGATTCAACGCTCAAAAGATATCGCAATGTTTTGTGTGCGACAACTGTCTCATATGTGAATGTGAAATATATTATTGTGTTTGCTAACCTCGCTAAAAATGGCAAAATAAAGAATTTTTGTAAAAAAAATTAAATTGTTGGGAATTCATAGCAAATTCAAAGGAAGTTTAAAATTTTACACCAAAACATGCAATCTTTAAAGCTGACTTTTTTTTTTTCACTTTGGCTATTTTATTATTACCGGGGAGGGTCGACTCAAATCAATACCTACTTGTTTAATTTTTGTCAGTGACAAAAGCACATTGAATTCTCACAAATCAGCAGCCCATGTATAATTTATTTCATGCAGGAGTGAGCAGTAGAGAGATTGCTATGAAAATTGAAACACCCAACTCACCATTGTCAATCTGCTATAACACTGTCTATCTTTTTAAAGATTCCAGCCTGATACCTTATTTTGCCTAATACGCTGGACAATGTAACAAATGCTGAGATTTTGTGTGAGCTGGGTCTCTGTGCCTGGGAAGCAGTTGAATTAATGACTTCTTTTCAGAAACCACTTATCCATGTAAATAGCTGTGAGATTGTAAAGGCAAATAGAAAATAGTTTGACAGCAGGGAAAGCATTGATTACCCAGATTAGCATTAGTTTCAAGAATAAAGTACTACCCTTTATTATAGAGAAGTTCATTTCTTTACGGAACAGGACTGGTTCATGCTGGTTCTATAGATTATCCCAGAACAATGAGTTACTGATCACTCATTTAGTTGCTTGTTGTACAAACTGCAATTTCTGTCTTTCCTGAACTGATATTGCAAGAGAAGCATTTTCATATGGCTTATTTCTCCCCTGGCTACCCATCCCCAAAACGCATTCAAAAAGCAGTTTAGGAGATGAGTCTACATTAAGCTCACACATAGTAATACTAAACAGATTTTGCACACTGAACAAGTACAGAAAATGCTCAGTTTATTGCCAAGATAGGTGATTTAAAACACATAGCCACTCCTTGCCACTGTTGGTACCACTTTAGATCTCATTGATATTATTGCTGTTAGTAAAATCGGAAAGTCTCCATATAGCAATATACACTTCCATTTTGGGGATACAGTTTCAATTTCTGCATTTTTTTGGATTTTATAACTTGATTGGACTCTAATCAATTCAATTCCCTTTAGATTTTTTTTTAATATTAAAGAGACACAATAGTCACTAAAACTACTACAGCTTAATGTATTTGTTCTGGTGCCCTCCAGACATTTTAATGTAAACACTGCCTTTTCAGAGTAACACCTCTAGTGGCAGTCACTCAGACATCTGCTAGAGGTGCTTCCTGGGTCAATGCTGCACAATGTACCGCACTGATTTTCAGTGTCTCCACGCATTGGCACAGCGTGTTGATTGGCGCAATAGCCTCCCAATGCTTTCCTATGGGAAAGAACTGGATTGGCTGACATCATCAATTTGATGGACCAACGAGGCGCTGGAAGAAAGGTGAGTAAAAACACCTTTCTCTTAGCTGACAATGGAAATGTAAAATGTGTTTTCATAACTATAGTGACAGGAATACTTGTTTGTATTCCTGTCACTATAGTGTTCCTTTAATAAAGATACTATTGCATTTTTGAACTGTGCATTTTCTATAGTTTTGTTTTTAGAGCATTATCTGTTTTGATATTGTGTGTATATATTGTATTTTATTTAGGACAAATATATTCTAGATACTTACACCCATCTCCATGGATTTTAACCTCATCAGGTGCCTGCATGCCTCCCATCTGTCCCACATTCAGATGGACAGTCCCGATCTTCGGGTCCTGTTCCACCTTAGTTTCCTGGTGTCTTGCATTTGGGGACTCCATTCATAGCACAAGTGTATTAAAAGTCACGCTTGCGCTATAATTTTGGCACTAGGACCCTGCAGTGACGGCTGAAACTGTGCATTCACGCCAGGCTGACCTGTCATTAACCCAGACCTTTGTGATGGGCCCACCACTTTGTGGGTGGGGCTAGTGACCAACCAAGTGTCCCTATTTAGGAGGGACAGTCCCTATTTTGGGCCCAAATACCTCCGTCACTATGTTCTATTCTAATAACCCTCTTTTCTAGAAGCTCTGTATTTTTGGAGTGTATAACAGAGTTCCACAACAATAATACTTAGAAACATAGAATGTGACAGCAGATAAGAACCATTCGGCCCATCTAGTCTCCACAATTTTTTAAGTACTTTCATTAGTCCCTGGGCTTATCTTATAGTTAGGATAGCCTTATGTCTATCCCACGCATGCTTAAACTCCTTTACTGTGTTAACCTCTACCACTTCAGCTGATTTTATTTTTAAACCTTTGCCCCTCTAATTGAAGATTATGTCCTCTTGTTGTGGTAGTTTTTCTTCTTTTAAATATAGTCTCCTCCTTTACTGTGTTGATTCTAAATTTGAAAGCTAAGTACTCTTTCTAAACTGAACTACAAATCCCATGATCCTCTAGCATCCACATAATTTTATTGGGACTTGGGGATTTCTAATAATCCCTTTTCATACAGTTTTTAACGATTGCTTATGCAGAAACTACTTTAAATTAATGTCTGAGTATGGGAGAAGGCTGGAACAGGGTATGGAAGATGGAACACTAATCAGGATGAAGGGATTTAGAGTAAGGTAGGTGTAGAATCATTACCTTGGCCTAGAAATTAATATTACTCCTCTATATTCAAGTCCAGAGAGTCCCCATTTGTGTAGACTCCAAGTTGCCAGACCGCTGTTATAATCTCAGTATTTTTTATTTTTTTTGTTTGGGCATTCTAAAATCTTGACTGTTTGTCTTGCCTTGTTGTCAGAGAACTGTAAGAGATGAATAGTAACATAATTCATTCGTAAAATTGTGTCTGCTCATAATGGTGGTGCAAAAAGGAAGATGTCATTGTCACATTGTCATCAGCAGAAAAACAGTGTAATTCTGGACTATAATATTTTGAACTTAAATGAATACTTTTGCTCTCTCCCCCACCCTCCCCCCAGAAAAGAGAGAAAATTCTCTGTTTATATGAAATACCCCAAATGAAGTTATACTAAGCCAAAAACCCAGGAAATAAAAGAACTAGTTGTCTGATTGACAATCAGGAAGGGTGTAACAAGATTAATTTATCAATGGGCCAATTTCTATTGAAATCTGCACTTTTCTTTTAATGCAAAAATGACACACTCTTCTCACATAAAGCACTTCAGCAAACCTTAGGGGTCTGGAGTGTCCCTTTAAGGCATCCAAGTTACTCTCATGAACTTGCTGAACAGCAGGTGAAATGTACTTCACAAATAAATGCAGTGCCAAGCTGGCCCGTTGATGCCACCGTTTAAATGTTCTTTGTAGTGTTGCATTTGATAACCATGTCTAACTTTTTCCTTTAGCTCCAGGACCGCACCCAGTTCAGCGACCGTGACCTGGCGATATTGAAAAAGTACTGGGACAACGGAATGACTAGCCTTGGTTCAGTTTGCCGAGAAAAAATTGAGGCAGTAGCTCTAGAATTAATAGTTGACTGTGAAATAGTACGGGTAAGATGATGCATTGAGCAATCCTTTCATGTGCAGAAACCCAAACATCATTGGGATAATTTATTAGCAGAGATGCATTCTTTTTAAAAAATTTTTACAGATCATTGCACGTAGTAGATGTGGTTAATGAAGCCCGAAATCAAACGTGCATTGCCGATCTGTAGAAAATGCACTTGTGTACTCGATTGAATGCTTTCAAAACACATTCCATTTTTAGTGACTTTACCCATGTGTAGGGTGGCCAGTGTTCCAAGTACTGCTGTGAAATGACTCGGGCCGCTTTTATAATTTAGGTACAAATGCTGATTCCTAGAAAGTAGCATTTAGAGATTAGTAGATTTGAAATTAAATCGACTACAATTTCTAGAGATTAATATATCTGGAGTTCGTGGTCATGCGCGGCAGAAACTGGCTTAACAGGTTTATTCTTCAACATTATAGAGCTCTGGCAGTCACAGTCGTGGAAGGAATTAATTCACTGGCATCATTCTAGTCCACTGTTGACATGATTGATGGGCTTGACATGTCCACCTTGGCCAGCTGTCCACCAATTTCCTGTCTTACCTAGTGACAAATCAATTCTGACCGCTAGATTTAGCAGTTCTACTAATTAATTTAAGCTAATCCATTTATGTTTAGTGTTTAATATATTAAACCTTAATATCCTTTTGGTCGTGTGCCTATTCTAGTATTATAATGTAATTATCTGTTGAATATGATAATCTGTTAAACATGGCAAAAATATTTTAACCCACATATATGAACTCAACTAACAGCAAATAAAAGTGAATGTATGAAAAGGGATATGTGAGAAGTATGTAAAATATACAATAAAGGGCGAGCAGTAGAGTAAGATGAGGTTATTTTAAATTAAAGAGTGGATTCCAGAGGTGAATGCATCAAGTTGTTGAGGTCTTCTATTGAAATCTATTAATGGTATAATGAAATCCGAGAATGCTTGAGAAATGCAATAAGTGGGTACGAGGATGTGGTGCTATGAGAGTATGTTTACTGTGTTAGAGGTGTATTCCAGTGAAGGTATCGGGTATCGTCCATTAGATGTGTTGCAGTAAGGATATCCTCTGTTAGAGATGTATTGCAGTGAGTATATCCTCAGATAGAGATGTATTCCAGTGAGGATATCAGGGTATCGTCCATTAGATGTGTTGCAGTGAGGATATCCTCTGTAAGAAATGTATTGCAGTGAGGGTATTCTCTGTAAGAGATATATTGCAGTGAGGATATCCTCTGTTAGAGATATATTGCAGTGAGGATATTCTCTGTTAGAGATATATTGCAGTGAGGATATCCTCTGTTAGTGATATATTGAAGTAATGGTATCCTCTGTTAGAGATATATCGCAGTGAGGGCATCCTCTGTTAGAGATAAATTGCAGTGATGATATCCTCTGTTAGAGGATATATTGCAGTGAGGATATCCTCTGTTAGAGATATATTGCAGTGATGATATCCTCTGTTAGAGGATATATTGCAGTGAGGATATCCTCTGTTAGAGATATATTGCAGTGAGGATATCCTCTATTAGTGATATATTTCAGTGAGGATATCCTCTGTTAGAGATATATTGCATTGATTGTATCCTCTGTTAGTGATATATTGCAGTGAGAATATCCTCTGTTAGTGATATATTGCAGTAATGGTATCCTCTGTTAGAGATTTATTGCAGTGGGGATATCCTCTGTTAGAGATATATTGCAGTGATGGTATCCTCTGTTAGAGATATATTGCAGTGATGGTATCCTCTGTTAGTGATATATTGCAGTGAGGATATCCTCTGTTAGTGATATATTGCAGTAAGGATATCCTCTGTTAGAGAAATATTGCAGTGAGGATATCCTCTGTTAGTGATATATTGCAGTAATGGTATCCTCTGTTAGAGATATATTGCAGTGAGGATATCCTCTGTTGGAGATATATTGCAGTGATTGTATCCTCTTTTAGTGATATATTGCAGTGGGGATATCCTCTGTTAGAGATATATTGCAGTGATGGTATCCTCTGTTAGTGATATATTGCAGTGAGAATATCCTCTGTTAGTGATATATTGCAGTAATGGTATCCTCTGTTAGAGATTTATTGCAGTGGGGATATCCTCTGTTAGAGATATATTGCAGTGATGGTATCCTCTGTTAGAGATATATTGCAGTGATGGTATCCTCTGTTAGTGATATATTGCAGTGAGGATATCCTCTGTTAGTGATATATTGCAGTAAGGATATCCTCTGTTAGAGAAATATTGCAGTGAGGATATCCTCTGTTAGTGATATATTGCAGTAATGGTATCCTCTGTTAGAGATATATTGCAGTGAGGATATCCTCTGTTGGAGATATATTGCAGTGATTGTATCCTCTGTTAGTGATATATTGCAGTGAGGATATCCTCTGTTAGTGATATATTGCAGTAATGGTATCCTCTGTTAGAGATTTATTGCAGTGGGGATATCCTCTGTTAGAGATATATTGCAGTGATGGTATCCTCTGTTAGAGATATATTGCAGTGATGGTATCCTCTGTTAGTGATATATTGCAGTGAGGATATCCTCTGTTTGAGATATATTGCAGTGAGGATATCCTCTGTTAGTGATATATTGCAGTAATGGTATCCTCTGTTAGAGATATATTGCAGTGAGGATATCCTCTGTTGGAGATATATTGCAGTGAGGATATCCTCTGTTAGAGATATATTGCAGTGAGGATATCCTCTGTTAGAGATATATTGCAGTGATGGTATCCTCTGTTAGAGATATATTGCAGTGAGGATATCCTCTGTTAGTGATATATTGCAGTAAGGATATCCTCTGTTAGAGATATATTGCAGTGAGGATATCCTCTGTTAGAGATATATTGCAGTGAGGATATCCTATGTTAGTGATATATTGCAGTGAGGATATCCTCTGTTAGAGATATATTGCAGTGAGGATATCCTATGTTAGTGATACATTACAGTGAGGATATCCTCTGTTAGTGATATATTGCAGTAATGGTATCCTCTGTTAGAGATATATTGCAGTGAGGATATCCTCTGTTGGAGATATATTGCAGTGAGTGTATCCTCTGTTAGTGATATATTGCAGTGATTATCCTCTGTTAGTGATATATTGCAGTAATGGTATCCTCTGTTAGAGATTTATTGCAGTGGGGATATCCTCTGTTAGAGATATATTGCAGTGATGGTATCCTCTGTTAGTGATATATTGCAGTGAGGATATCCTCTGTTAGAGATATATTGCAGTGAGGATATCCTCTGTTAGTGATATATTGCAGTAATGGTATCCTCTGTTAGAGATATATTGCAGTGAGGATATCCTCTGTTGGAGATATATTGCAGTGAGGATATCCTCTGTTAGAGATATATTGCAGTGATGGTATCCTCTGTTAGAGATATATTGCAGTGATGGTATCCTCTGTTAGTGATATATTGCAGTGAGGATATCCTCTGTTAGTGATATATTGCAGTAAGGATATCCTCTGTTAGAGATATATTGCAGTGAGGATATCCTCTGTTAGAGATATATTGCAGTAAGGATATCCTCTGTTAGTGATATATTGCAGTGGGGATATCCTCTGTTAGAGATATATTGCAGTGATGGTATCCTCTGTTAGTGATATATTGCAGTGATGGTATCCTCTGTTAGTGATATATTGCAGTGAGGATATCCTCTGTTAGTGATATATTGCAGTGAGGATATCCTCTGTTAGAGATATATTGCAGTGAGGATATCCTCTGTTAGAGGATATATTGCAGTGAGGATATCCTCTGTTAGAGATATATTGCAGTGAGGATATCCTCTATTAGTGATATATTGCAGTGAGAATATCCTCTGTTAGTGATATATTGCAGTAATGGTATCCTCTGTTAGAGATTTATTGCAGTGAGGATATCCTCTGTTAGTGATATATTGCAGTAATGGTATCCTCTGTTAGAGATTTATTGCAGTGAGGATATCCTCTGTTAGAGATATATTGCAGTAAGGATATCCTCTGTTAGAGATATATTGCAGTGAGGATATCCTCTGTTAGAGATATATTGCAGTGAGGATATCCTATGTTAGTGATACATTGCAGTGAGGATATCCTCTGTTAGTGATATATTGCAGTAATGGTATCCTCTGTTAGAGATATATTGCAGTGAGGATATCCTCTGTTGGAGATATATTGCAGTGAGTGTATCCTCTGTTAGTGATATATTGCAGTGAGGATATCCTCTGTTAGTGATATATTGCAGTAATGGTATCCTCTGTTAGAGATTTATTGCAGTGGGGATATCCTCTGTTAGAGATATATTGCAGTGATGGTATCCTCTGTTAGTGATATATTGCAGTGAGGATATCCTCTGTTAGAGATATATTGCAGTGAGGATATCCTCTGTTAGTGATATATTGCAGTAATGGTATCCTCTGTTAGAGATATATTGCAGTGAGGATATCCTCTGTTGGAGATAAATTGCAGTGAGGATATCCTCTGTTAGAGATATATTGCAGTGATGGTATCCTCTGTTAGAGATATATTGCAGTGAGGATATCCTCTGTTAGTGATATATTGCAGTAATGGTATCCTCTGTTAGAGATATATTGCAGTGAGGATATCCTCTGTTAGAGATATATTGCAGTGATGGTATCCTCTGTTAGAGATATATTGCAGTGATGGTATCCTCTGTTAGTGATATATTGCAGTGAGGATATCCTCTGTTAGTGATATATTGCAGTAAGGATATCCTCTGTTAGAGATATATTGCAGTGAGGATATCCTCTGTTAGAGATATATTGCAGTAAGGATATCCTCTGTTAGTGATATATTGCAGTGAGGATATCCTCTGTTAGTGATATATTGCAGTGGGGATATCCTCTGTTAGAGATATATTGCAGTGATGGTATCCTCTGTTAGAGATATATTGCAGTGAGGATATCCTCTGTTAGAGATATATTGCAGTGATGGTATCCTCTGTTAGTGATATATTGCAGTGAGGGTATCCTCTGTTAGTGATATATTGCAGTGAGGATATCCTCTGTTAGAGATATATTGCAGTGAGGATATCCTATGTTAGTGATACATTGCAGTGAGGATATCCTCTGTTAGAGATATATTGCAGTGATGGTATCCTCTGTTAGAGATATATTGCAGTGAGGCTATCCTCTGTTAGTGATATATTGCAGTGATGGTATCCTCTGTTAGTGATATATTGCAGTGATGGTATCCTCTGTTAGTGATATATTGCAGTGAGGATATCCTCTGTTAGTGATATATTGCAGTGAGGATATCCTCTGTTAGAGATATATTGCAGTGAGGATATCCTCTGTTAGAGATATATTGCAGTGATGGTATCCTCTGTTAGAGATATATTGTAGTGAGGATATCCTCTGTTAGTGATATATTGTAGTGAGGATATCCTCTGTTAGAGATATATTGCAGTGAGGATATCCTCTGTTAGAGATATATTGCAGTGATGGTATCCTCTGTTAGAGATATATTGCAGTGATGGTATCCTCTGTTAGTGATATATTGCAGTGAGGATATCCTCTGTTAGTGATATATTGCAGTAAGGATATCCTCTGTTAGAGATATATTGCAGTGAGGATATCCTCTGTTAGAGATATATTGCAGTAAGGATATCCTCTGTTAGTGATATATTGCAGTGAGGATATCCTCTGTTAGTGATATATTGCAGTGGGGATATCCTCTGTTAGAGATATATTGCAGTGATGGTATCCTCTGTTAGAGATATATTGCAGTGAGGATATCCTCTGTTAGAGATATATTGCAGTGATGGTATCCTCTGTTAGTGATATATTGCAGTGAGGGTATCCTCTGTTAGTGATATATTGCAGTGAGGATATCCTCTGTTAGAGATATATTGCAGTGAGGATATCCTATGTTAGTGATACATTGCAGTGAGGATATCCTCTGTTAGAGATATATTGCAGTGATGGTATCCTCTGTTAGAGATATATTGCAGTGAGGCTATCCTCTGTTAGTGATATATTGCAGTGATGGTATCCTCTGTTAGTGATATATTGCAGTGATGGTATCCTCTGTTAGTGATATATTGCAGTGAGGATATCCTCTGTTAGTGATATATTGCAGTGAGGATATCCTCTGTTAGAGATATATTGCAGTGAGGATATCCTCTGTTAGAGATATATTGCAGTGATGGTATCCTCTGTTAGAGATATATTGTAGTGAGGATATCCTCTGTTAGTGATATATTGTAGTGAGGATATCCTCTGTTAGAGATATATTGTAGTGAGGATATCCTCTGTTAGAGATATATTGTAGTGATGGTATCCTCTGTTAGAGATATATTGCAGTGATGGTATCCTCTGTTAGTGATATATTGCAGTGAGGATATCCTCTGTTAGTGATATATTGTAGTGAGGATATCCTCTGTTAGAGATATATTGCAGTGAGGATATCCTCTGTTAGAGATATATTGCAGTGATGGTATCCTCTGTTAGAGATATATTGTAGTGAGGATATCCTCTGTTAGTGATATACAGGGAGTGCAGAATTATTAGGCAAATGAGTATTTTGACCACATCATCCTCTTTATGCATGTTGTCTTACTCCAAGCTGTATAGGCTCGAAAGCCTACTACCAATTAAGCATATTAGGTGATGTGCATCTCTGTAATGAGAAGTGGTGTGGTCTAATGACATCAACACCCTATATCAGGTGTGCATAATTATTAGGCAACTTCCTTTCCTCTGGCAAAATGGGTCAAAAGAAGGACTTGACAGGCTCAGAAAAGTCAAAAATAGTGAGATATCTTGCAGAGGGATGCAGCACTCTTAAAATTGCAAAGCTTCTGAAGCGTGATCATCGAACAATCAAGCGTTTCATTCAAAATAGTCAACAGGGTCGCAAGAAGCGTGTGGAAAAACCAAGGCGCAAAATAACTGCCCATGAACTGAGAAAAGTCAAGCGTGCAGCTGCCACGATGCCACTTGCCACCAGTTTGGCCATATTTCAGAGCTGCAACATCACTGGAGTGCCCAAAAGCACAAGGTGTGCAATACTCAGAGACATGGCCAAGGTAAGAAAGGCTGAAAGACGACCACCACTGAACAAGACACACAAGCTGAAACGTCAAGACTGGGCCAAGAAATATCTCAAGACTGATTTTTCTAAGGTTTTATGGACTGATGAAATGAGAGTGAGTCTTGATGGGCCAGATGGATGGGCCCGTGGCTGGATTGGTAAAGGGCAGAGAGCTCCAGTCCGACTCAGACGCCAGCAAGGTGGAGGTGGAGTACTGGTTTGGGCTGGTATCATCAAAGATGAGCTTGTGGGGCCTTTTTGGGTTGAGGATGGAGTCAAGCTCAACTCCCAGTCCTACTGCCAGTTCCTGGAAGACACCTTCTTCAAGCAGTGGTACAGGAAGAAGTCTGCATCCTTCAAGAAAAACATGATTTTCATGCAGGACAATGCTCCATCACACGCGTCCAAGTACTCCACAGCGTGGCTGGCAAGAAAGGGTATAAAAGAAGAAAATCTAATGACATGGCCTCCTTGTTCACCTGATCTGAACCCCATTGAGAACCTGTGGTCCATCATCAAATGTGAGATTTACAAGGAGGGAAAACAGTACACCTCTCTGAACAGTGTCTGGGAGGCTGTGGTTGCTGCTGCACGCAATGTTGATGGTGAACAGATCAAAACACTGACAGAATCCATGGATGGCAGGCTTTTGAGTGTCCTTGCAAAGAAAGGTGGCTATATTGGTCACTGATTTGTTTTTGTTTTGTTTTTGAATGTCAGAAATGTATATTTGTGAATGTTGAGATGTTATATTGGTTTCACTGGTAATAATAAATAATTGAAATGGGTATATATTTGTTTTTTGTTAAGTTGCCTAATAATTATGCACAGTAATAGTCACCTGCACACACAGATATCCCCCTAACATAGCTATAACTAAAAACAAACTAAAAACTACTTCCAAAAATATTCAGCTTTGATATTAATGAGTTTTTTGGGTTCATTGAGAACATGGTTGTTGTTCAATAATAAAATTAATCCTCAAAAATACAACTTGCCTAATAATTCTGCACTCCCTGTATTGTAGTGAGGATATCCTCTGTTAGAGATATATTGTAGTGATGGTATCCTTTGTGTTGCATAGTATGTATTACATTTGAGCACGGTAAAAATGTTCATTTTCTGTGAACTGATTTGGTTCAGATTTTTTTAATTTTTTTTTTATTCTGACAAGTTTTGGTTTTGAATAATTGTGATTCAGCCCAAAATTTGGTTGAGTTCCAAAAATTTGGTTTTGCCCAGATATAGCTGGGTAAGCCTTACAATGAACATAAAATAAAGCTGTTCCTGTAAACATTTCTGAAGCTGTAAATTAGTGATTCAAAGTTGGTGTTAAGTGGCAGTAGATACTTGCAGCAGCCACCGCAAAACTAATTCTGTCGCAATATTCGATTTATTCGTATTTTATATACAATTCTGTTTGGTATTCAGAAATTCGGCCAAACGCCCAATCAGCCCAAATTCGGCCCATACCAAATCTCCAAGGCTAGTATGGATCCTCTTTCACTGTGAGATGATACAGTGTTTGTGTGCTTAGTTAAATAGATTTGTTGAAGTGAGCGTAACCTCAGAAGCAAAGATGGGGTGAAGTGCACGTGGCCCTAGAAAAATGTATGGGGTGCAATTAGAGTTACGTAAGTAGGATAGATGGGGTACAATCCAGGTAGTCTCTTTTTTTAGAAATTAATTGCAATTAGTGTAGCCTCATCCACACATATAAGGTGCAATCATTGTATTCTCAATCCCAGATATGTGGCGCAGTGGGCGTTGTCAAACATGCAGAAATAGCTTTAAACAAAATCCTTCCCACGATGCAAACAACTCGGTAAGGCTGTGTATAAATGCTGGCAGACTATAAAAGAGATTTGCAAGGCTCTGGGTTTTTTTGTGTGGCAGGACATGAATTCCAGCACTGAAGAAGCCCTTTAAAATTGCATGAGATGAGACTAGCACACAGCTCGACGAGTTGCCAAAAATAGATTTTAGCTCCTGTATAATGAATAGCTCTGTTACATACTACTTACTCATTCTGTCGCTGCAGCTAAATATAGTCCCAAACCCTCAGGTGAGGGGCCTTTTATTGATCAGCCCGAGAGCTGCATTTATTTGATCAAGGAAATGATACAAGGAGTTATATTTCGGGAACACGACAAACTATCGCTGTATAAGCACTTTCCTTATTTATTTTTTCTGCAGGATCCTTAGGAGGATATGAAGGCCTTTCTTAAAGGGAAAGAAAAAAATTCATTAATCATGTGTATTTTTTTGTGTGTTTTTCTTTGGGAAGCAGTATAAAAACATATTTGGGTAGAGAAAACTCAAAAATAATACTACTAATAATACATGCATTATTGCATCATCATTCCTCTTCCTTATGGGAGGCACACATTCTTTAAAATATGGAAATACTAATTCTTCTTCTTACTTTTGACCTTTTTTGGAACATGCTTCCAGTCCAGGGATCTTCTACTCCAAGCTGATACTAATATATTTTGATGCACTTGTCATAATATGACAATTATATACTGAATTTCTTTAAAAGGTATAGATTCACCAATTGAACACGGACAGAAGAAAACATGGGAACACTGCAAGGCATTCCTCTTTTTCTGTGTATCAAGTACAAAAAGCACTTAAAAGGACACTCCACTGCCCGTATAAAAAACCCACTATTTATTAGATATAACTCCAATGAACGTATGTGTAAATTTAATCATGCATTTTTCTTCATTAGGGGTTTATCCAAAAACAGCTTACAAAAGCTGACAATCTCTTGTTTAAAGCCTCTGCAAGCCCTCCCCTTCTAACCCCGCCCAGACTTTCTGTGGCTGTCAAATCACAGACTTTGCAATGCAGCTCAATGAGAATCTTTGCAAGGCAGGTGTTCTGGGCAATTACTGCCTCTTGAGTTTAACTTCACTGAGCTAAACAACTAGGAAGTAACATGGTCGGTTGTTTGATTGACAGTCAGGGGGTGTAACAAGGTTAATTCATTAGAGTGCTAATTTCTATTGAAATCTGCATTTTTTGCAAAATGCAGTCTTCACAATCTTAATGCCAAATGGCAAAGGTTAGCACTCCATACGTTTAAACCATACAAGAAATCTTCCCCTTTATTACAGTAGCTTCTCTCCCATTATTGCATCGGCAAGGTTTAAAGGAACAGAAGGCTTTTTTGGGAGGAGTTGGAGGAATAGATAAAACATTGCAATGTGGAAAAAATAAATTAAAAAAAATAGCCTTTTGTATTAAAACGTACTGTCCTAATTAGGGATCACCAGAACGGCAGCAGCCTTCATCTCCATCATCTTCCTTGTTACCATTATTGTTGCTGTATGGCTCACAACCCATTTACAAAACACATGATATATTTGTCTTCTGTCTCCTCCAGGAGTTAATCTTGTAATTATGAAGTGATATCACACATCCGATGATGTCACTGTCTGTCTGTCTGTCTGTGTGTTCCATGAAAGTCTACATCTGTCAGGATCAAGATACAAATGTATCTACAAGTTTGCAAAAGACATAAAAATTGAGCCCTGCGTTCAAACTTCCACTACTTCTGGATGGTAGCAATGGCCACAGTATCCATCAGCCAAAACACATAGTAACAAAAAGTAAAACGTTTTTACAAAAGACTCTAAACCAAATAGCCGCAATACATTGAGTAAAAAAAAAAATATATATATATCAATATAACTTTGATTAATTCCCATTGTTTCCAACACACAGGAGATAATAGATCTTACAAACACCATGTAGTATCTGAGCTGAGTTTCCTTTGATGTGGATTCCCGAGCCATCTAGCTGGCTTCCATGTGTATGAATAGGCATGTTTTACCTGGAATAAAATAAGGAACATCAGTACGGAGCTAAAAGCGTAATAAATTTTAAGAACATAATAAAAAAATTTTTTAAAAGTACTGGCCAGTATGTTTAAGCAACAGGAAACAGTGATTCTCTCAACTGAATTATTTTTCTTCGCCGATTATCTTTAGTATAATGGTTTATGAAAGAAAAGGCTCATTCACATTGCTAACACATGCCTGTGAGTTACATGTTGGTTTTAAGCTACACATTTTAACAATAATGTGATATAAAATGTATCAACGATCCATCTGGCAGAAATCACGGTTAGTGTTGCTATAGTAACCGAAGCCTTGCATCCCATTGATCAAAGTAACTGGATAAATTCAAGGACCCTTAGGAAAATCCATCATAGAAGACCTTCAGTGAGTATTTACAGACTATGCAACACTGAAACCTGTGCATCCTTACATCAAACAGCATCTCACATGTTTTTCTAGTTTTTTTTTCAATTACTCCTGGTCTCTTGTTGCCTATTAACTAAAGCATAATCTCCATGAGTGTGTTTTCCCTGGCAATAACTAAATTGGAAGTTAAGACCTTGAAATGGTCCTCTGCCCCCTTCCTCCCGAGTGTTGTCTTTCTTTATTGAAATGATTTGTCGTTCATCACCCATTCTCATACTTAGAACTGAAGTACTGTTACATTAGGTGGGCAAAGAAATTAGAGGATCTGAAAAGAAAAAAGGATGGTCCACATGTCATTGATGTGAATCTGTTTTTCTTAAAACTATTTAAATCATTTAAATAAAGTTTTCTTTCCTCACATACCCTAAATATTTTTTCATTATTTTCAACAGACGTGGATAGGAAACCGAAGAAGGAAATACCGATTGATGGGGATTGAGGTCCCACCTCCAAGAGGTGGCCCTGCTTCTTTCTCCGATCAGCATGATTCGGGATCAGTATTAACTCCAGGAGATGATCCAGTTGCAGAAGTCATTGAAGATAATGATCGGAATGATGACATTTCCATTTGCCTCTCGGAGGAAAGCTCCCAAGGTATGGGAAGATTGTCCATCCTACGAAGGACTAAATATTTAAAGCAACTCTGTCAGAACCCAAAAAAAGAAAAATCAGTATTTCATAAAGATAACATGTAGTGATTACCCAAATTCAGCCATTCACCCCAATAATCAGTGCATGTGAGCATGGTTCACATAAGCCACCCAACAGAGGAATCTGTGGATAAACGTGGAACCACAATTTTGGTAAGATGATATAGTATAGATCTATAGTCATCATAGGGGCATCAGCTGCTCATTTTATTAAATTGTTACTGGGTTAAACATTAAAGGGAGAATTCCAAGTGAATTTCAAAGTTAAGGTAAAAGTAGCCAAAATGGGAAAATCTTCCAAGTCAGCTATTCTCTTAGTTTCTCTTCATTGGACTTAAATTTGAAATTTAGTTTAAATTCTCCCTTAGTGCATAACCCTGTAAATCACACAACAGTGATGTGATAGCAATTTAAATGTCCTTCTATGAGATCAGCCAATGTTCAGCTGACATTCTTTTGAACTCGGTACTGCGTTGCATTCAAGCACAGCCATCCAGTGTCCTTAGGCAGGGTCTAATTTAATTCACAACAATTGTGCAATGCTGGCTGAAACTAATTTGCCTCTCAAGGTGTTAAATTCTAGTTCTGGCTAAAGTGGAGGAGAAAGCTCTTGTCCCTATCAAGTTCCAATTTTGGCTCCTCCAGACACATCCTTTTTTTTTATCAGATGAATTAAATATAACTCTATAATGCACATTAACACCAATAACTTTCCGTGGAGGTTGTTATCGCCCGAGTACAAATTTTTAAAGACATTCTGTGTCTCTAATGTGTGCTTTGTTTACAGTGCATTATAATTACTAAATAATTAGCGTGTAGCTGGCAAGTTGTGAATAAACGAGGACAGCTTACGTCTTTTAAGGCTGTGATGATCTACTGTTGCCTTTTAATATTGCAGAATGCAGATGAATGTACGAGGGGAAACATATTGAGTTTCGGAATTTGTTGCTGCAGATTTTCAATGTTTTTTTAGGATAGAAATCACTTTACCAGAAACCAGAAGCCGATATCTAAAAAAAAATGGGGCAATAAGCATGGAATCCAATCGAATCAGCATGAACATTCCGTTGGTTTCCATGGTGACTGATCCACTTCTTGAGCTTTGCCCCACTTTTCTGTTTGCAAGACCTTTTTTTTATGGATTTATTACATTGTTTCAGTGATGCACATCAACCATTTGTTTAATTCAAGCACCAGCCTTGCTGGTTTTAAATAAACTCTGCCTTAACACTTACTAGGTATGGTTGTGGGATTCACTGGGTTCACATAGCTAGTTTAGCTGTGGATCTGTATGGCTCAGCTTTTAATATAGTGGAACGGAAATAAAAGAACAAAATAGCATTACATTAGTAGCGTCTTTGACCCTACAGTTCCTGTTTGTGGTTTTTCGTTTTTTTTTTTTTTATATATATAAATGTAAATGAGTAAAATTGTAATAATCTGGCTAATCCTGACCAGTCATTTTTCTGTTTTTATTCTGTTGTGTTATAATGTTGCAAAACATTATTAATTGTTACCTGAAGAAACGGCTATAAATATGGACAAATTACCGGCTCTGGAAAAGGCCTTCTTTGCACTATATCTCCCATATTTCTTATCAAGAAGAACAATGCCTCTTTTGTCCCAATTGCTTTGTTGTCTCTTTGCTCGGCCAACCGTTCTTTGGTGCTTGGGATGTTGTTGACTACAGATTTTATGCTTAGAGGAACAAGACAAGTACCATGACCACTACAGTGCGATGTAGTGGTGATTGTGCCATGAGTGGCTTGAGAACGCCCGAAAGTAGTGTGTCAAACCATTTTATTATGGTTTGACGCTGACTTTGGTCCTGTCAGGCACCCATGTTAAATTCAGTCTACTCAGAGCTGGAGAAGCTGGATGTCTGTTACTCATGACGGCTACTCATTGATCTCCTTCATTTGGTTGAGAGCGCTTAGCTGACATTCTCAACCAATGAATGAATGCATTCAGTTTCTACAGCTCTGAGAAGACCACATGTAGTGCGGGTCCCAGGTTACTGTCCAACTGGACTAAAACAGATTATGCTGAGATGGTGCTTGAAACATTCCTTTAATGTCATTTGATGACGTTGAAGCATTTGCTTCAGTAGAGGCCACCCATTCTTAGTCCTGCAAAACATATATTTTCTGATATGTTATGACTGAACGAAGGCCTCTCCCTGGAGCATCTGTTTAAGTTAACGTTGAGATAATATTGCTGTCTTGAATATTGTAGATCTGGCAAACCTAAGACAAAGAGGTTGTCTGTCGTTGTTGAGGTATAAGAGTTGTAACAGTATGAAAATAATAAATTAATTGTTTTTAAAAAACTTTTTTCCAGTTCTTCAATCTTCAACTTTGTACATATTGATAAATGAACTATTATAATTTTTGCCACAAAAAATAGCTCACTTCTCGCCATTCTGGAATAGACTGCTATGATATGTTCCCTTGGCTGTATTTGAAGGTAATTTTGAAGTTGGCATTCATTTTTGCTTTTAACGGTTGCTTGTGCAGCTGACGTAATCACCTTTTAATAGCTTTTTGTCATTTAGATTAGGTTTCTGTTTACTACTGCTGAAACGTGCGCAGTGTGCAGTCAGCTGTGTAGTTCATTGTATGTCTGGGGTTTGACAAACCTTGCCGCAACATTTCAAATCAGAGAAACGGTAATCTCCCATGCATCCATCTCAGAGGAAAGTCTGTCTTTGAGCGTTAAACGTTATCCTGTGCCATTTTTAGTGGAGTGGAAAATATGTGGCATTTATGACAGAGCTGCGTATTCTATACAGTAATATGTGATTTATATTTATTGGTGCATCATCATTAATGAACATTCTAATGTTTGGAATGCAAACCCCAGAAATAACAAAATCTAGAGTTTAATTGACCTTTAGTCCCCCGGAATGCCTGTCTCACCATAGCTGCTCCTCCTGCCCTGGCTGTGATAATCATTATTGATAATCTCAACCAATCCAATACTTACCCACAGGGCTCAAAGTATCTCTAAGGGGAGCGTAAGGCAGTGTTTGCATTGTTTAGACCACAAGGACTGTCTCCTTGCACCACAACAACTACATTAAACAGTAGTGGTTCTGGTGCTTACTGTACCTTTTAAATATCTGTCATCCATCCTTTTTGTACATCATAAAATACAGAGGAAATTCAACTGTTTAAAAAAACCTCAAAAATCCAATGGCTACCAAAACTCTAAAGATCCACTATTATTTAAAAACACACATACATTTATTCAGTAAACCTGGAGTTTTTAAGAATTTACAAAAACAGGGAAAATAGCAGAGCTTGGCATTTATTTTCTTTTTATGTTATACAAATAGATGATCCATCCAGGATGCCCCCCGATGTTGCTACCCTTACCGATTGGATAAAATATGACAAGCTCACTTTGTCTCATAGACATCATCGACTGTTAACTACTTCAAGAGCAATATCATCTAAATTGTATGCCATTCTCACAATATTAAAGAACTGCAGGCCCTGAAAGTTCTTTTGGGGCAACCATGTGAGCTGCATCATGTGTACATGTCTGTATGGTGTTCTACCTATTGTAACATACTCATCATCACTGTGCGACATCGATAGTGATTGCCTTGCCAACAACTGCGGTAGTGCCGTTCATCGGCCATGCGTCAATATGTCTGACCCCTGCAGCATGTTGATGGACGCCGGCCATAACACCAATTTGTATCCCCACGTCCGCCCATGGCAATATCGACGCCAATGTGCATGTGACTTCACGCAAAGGACGCACATGCATGTTCTGGGGTCAAAGGCCGGTTACGGCCAATCGGATCCAAAAGAGGGGTATTTAACCTTTTCTATTTCTTCAGCTCATTGCCCTGTCGTGGTTTCCCTTAGTGGTTGTCCGAGAGTGCGTTCCTGATAGTTTGTTTTTGGTTATTCACTTTGGCTTCGTTTTGACATCCCTGTATTCTGGTATAATTTGGCTTTCCCTCATCGTTGTGTCTCATTCTGTGTCCCTGACCTTGGCAAGTATTATTCTTTGGTACGTTAAGTTCGGCCATTCTAAGGCCTGGTAAGACTTTACCTTTTACTCCTAGGTGTGATCTAATTCTACGTGCTGGATCACCTAGTAATCCTGACACCTATTTCCATATCTAAAGTTTAATTGTTGTGACTGTGTTAGGGACTGAGCCAAGTAGGGGAATGAGTTTCAGATAAATGAAGCGTCTAATGTCTGTTACTTACCTGATACAACGTGACACAGATCCAGATGTGTCATTTGCTATTAACAAGCCAGACACAGGCTGCTTGTATACCCATCTAGATGTATAAATAAACCCCTCGGATGGCGTTGCCTGGGTTTCCTGAAATTGGCAATTTTCCTTTTAGTCTCGGTTTCTTATGCCGCTGACAATCCTCATTACCAGGCCTCGGCATCTTCTCTGTTTATTTTCCATGGATCGGATCTGCATTTAGCAGCTCCAGCATGTCCTCCTGTAATTACATGAAGATTTACTGCCTGGTGTTTTTATGTGTTGCTTCAACGCCGATGAAAGAATTCAAAAATTAACCTTTTAGTGCACTTTGACGCAGGTGGAATATTAACCCGTGGAGCGCTGGAGATTTGTTATAGATTGGTTATAGATTCCCTTGTGGGTTACTTTTTTCAGTGCTGGATAACGGATAATGTCCTTAGACTCTCAATGTCACTGGAAACATTACCTTTTCTAAAATAATTAATATTATTTGGTAAACTAGAAGTTTAAACTGAAGCTTTTTTGAAACATTCGCAAACTGTTATGTAAACGTATAAAAAGCAGGGATTTCTATTCTTTTTTTTGTGCTCAAAGACATGCCATAGATGTGTGTAGTTCTTCGGTCATGAAGGGGCCATTTCCCATCCACTATTTTAAATAAAAGTTGATGAGAAATGGCATGACAGCAGGAAATGAATCAATATTCCAGCTTTGCCCAATTAGTCCCTACTTAGAAGCCTGAAAAGGCACAACTTCTCTCTGCATTGTCTTATGTATGTTTGAATGTGCTAGAATTTCATTGGAATTCCAGTGACATCTGTAGGTAGTTATTCACGAAGATTCTATTTTTATGAAAGCTCAAAAGTGTCAGGTCCATTTTAAGTCAGGCTGTACTTCATGGGCAATGTTCAGAACGTAAATGACATGTTCTGAATAGAATTTTTGAGCATGGAAATCCAACAAGCAGCTCTCTCATGATTCCAATTACAACACCCAAGGGTCAAGAGATTTGTAGTCCAACAAGAAATCTACCTGCTGGCCACCCTTGCTTTAGATGACTGTTCTTAAAGGACTACTATAGTGCCAGGAAAACATACTCGTTTTCCTGGCACTATAGTGCCCTGAGGGTGCCCCCACCCTCAGGGTCCCCCTCCCGCCGGGCTCTAGGAGGTGGAAGGGGTTAAACTTACCTCTTTCTCCAGCGCCGGACGGGGAGATCTCCGCCTCCTCTCCTCCTCCTCGGCTGAATGCGAATGCGCGGCAAGAGCCACGCGCGCATTCAGCCAGTCTCATAGGAAAGCATTCACAATACTTTCCTATGGACGCTGGTGTCTTCTCACTGTGGTTTTCACAGTGAGAAGCACACAAGCGCCTCTAGCGGCTGTCAATGAGACAGCCACTAGAGACTGGATTAACCCTAATATAAACATAGCCGTTTCTCTCAAACTGCTATGTTTATAGAAAAAAGGGTTAAAACTAGCTGTACCAGGCACCCAGACCACTTAGTTAAGCTGAAGTGGTCTGGGTGCCTATAGTGGTCCCTTAAGATTAAAGGTTACTCCAACTAGTTTTTAAGGTTTAATTTTTTTATTTATAATGTCATATTGGGAACTTGTCACTTGGTCCCTCCCTCCCTCATTTTTTTTTTTTTTAAATCTGTAAAATAAAGTAAAAACTTTGCTTGAATCATCTCCCCATCCTTTCCCCACCTTCCTATAGAGGATTGTAGTTGGACCTTGGGTGCTTCTGCTAAAAGCAGAAGTGGTCATGGAGATTGGCGTAACCTTTTTACTCACAATTTGGTAACAGATTGGAGATGATTTATTAGATTTCTTATGCCGAGAAAAAAAATAGACCACAGATGCAGCAGGAAATCACATCAGCTGTGTGTTTTTACATCTACCACCGAGCTTTTGTGAGCATTAAACATCCTGTATTTCACTACCAGGTAAGAGATGGATTCATATCACATCACCAGAGCTTTGTGTAGACAGCCATTCGGTTGATGATCGACCAGTCTTATTTGACAAATTATCCCAGACAGGGATTGGGCTCCAAAGGAAGGCAATGCTTCTATTTAAATTAAACCAAACAATTGCAAACACAACACAAGTTTATAGCAAAAAATATTTGTTAACTATATGTATTGACATCCTTTTGGTCCTGCCACGACTTGAAAACCATAGAAAACCTGTGGGTTGAATGGAAGAGGAGAGTCTAACAGCGCCAACTTCAAAATTTGAAGGATCTGGAGAGATTCTGTTTGGAGGAATGGTTTCAGGTCCCTTGCTATGTGTTCTGCAACCTCATCAGACATTATTTATTTTATTTATAAAATATTTTACCAGGAAAGATACATTGAGATTTCTCTCGTTTTCAAGTATGTCCTGGGTCACTATAGGAGAAGACTCAGAGCCGTTATCTTGGTAAAGGGTGGTAGCACAAAATATTGACTAAATGGGTGCCAATACATATATTTTACAAAGATTTTTTTTTAATTAAACTTGCTGTTGTGTGATATCCATGAGAGCAGAGTATTTTTGTGTATTTTTTGAACAAAAGATCAAAAGGTTAAACAATAATGTCATTTTGTGCCAGCCTTCTTTGCCCATATGTACCAAGGGTGTCAATATTCGCGTTGGACACTGTACCTTATAGAACATTCTACAGGTGATGTTTATATGATTACATACGACAGTGAAGTGGCCATTAGGGACATTTTTACTCTATGGGGTTTATTTACTAATATTGGAATTGTGAAGAATGAATAAGGGGATGGGGAATTTTAGATAATTCTGATTTTGTTTTGGGGTTTATTATTTTTAAGCCCAGCCATTTTGGTCTAAAATATCCAGTCCTCTTTACACTTCTATAGGATTCTTGGCACACCGCACTGTGCTTTTAGTGGCTTGAAAATCAGAATTTAGGCTGATTTTGAGAAATTCTCCAACTCTGTTATAGTCAAAACTTTACTATTTTAGTCTAAAATTTGCAATACCATTTCTAATTCGCTTTAATTCTACGTTAAATGAATAAATAACAGGATGTTAAGAGAAAGCAAAATTGGACAAAATTGCTGCCTCGGGTCAAATTCATTAATATTCTATCTCTTTTGCTGCTGTCCTACGTTTATACCACAAAAGCTGAAACGTGTTTGTTAAAACTAGCGTTTTGCTTTAATTTGCCATGTTTTAACCAACATTTGCTGCTGTGACTATTGTATACATATTGATACAATTATTTACAGATCAAATGATATTTTAAATATATGTGTAATAATTGTGCCACGACCTACTAGTGGAACAGCATCATCAGAGCGATAAGTTATATTCTTCCGTTTAAAGCACTACTGAGTTCGCCAGCCTCCTTCTGTGCTCTGTGCCAGGCTGGTAGCTAAACGTTCCATCTTTCCACTGGATAAGCTCAACATTCAGCTTAAAATCTGGGATAATTGCACATAGCAAGAGAGCCATAGGAGAGATATAATTACCTTTAAGGCTCAGGGGACAGAGGCAGTTTATGCATTAAGATACTAAGAGAAGAAGATAGTGTAGCGCAAGCTTTATTTACAGTCATTGCTTAACCCCTTAAGGACACATGATGGAAATATTCCATCATAATTCCCTTTTATTCCAGAATTTGTATCCTTAAGGGGTTAAATAACCATTTATTTAAAAGGTGGAATAGCAGGTCAAAGTAGCCATTAGCTCTCCAACAAACCCCATGGCAAAGACTCGCAGGCAGATTACAGCTGAGCTTGGAGATTCTTTTTGTCTGCTCAGCATTTTAAGACCCTGCAGAATTTATGCTTGTTTTGTCTTTTTTTTTTAAATATATATATTATTATTTTTAGTCATTTAATGACTGTTACTTTATGTAGTACTGAGCAGTGTTTTGCCGCAGTGGAAATAAAATTGTTAACTATAATATTGGCTTCCAAATCAGGCAACTCTTGAGACCAACATTCTTTCTACTTCCATATATTTTTCATATAAGTTGCATATGGTGTATGTAATAATCATTCCACTAATCAATTATTTGGAACAAAAAAAAAATGGGACTAATCGTGTGAATATATAATTTAATATAGGATCAATAGACTACATATTAAATTCTAATTTTATTACAGAACTGTAAACAGAAACTAATTATCATTTTTATAACAGGTCTATTTTGAGTTAAATGGAATTTAAAACATATCTGCATGGAGACGCTGAACTTTGCCTATAGAGATGCATTGATTCAAAGCATTTGAATGAGGAAATGCTAATTGGCCAGGGTGGCGTTTAGCTCCGCCTTGACAATCTAAGCCAATCCAATGCTTTCCTGTGGGAAAGCATTGTGATTAGCTGAGATCATCAATTGTGATTATGTCAATCAAGGAGGAGGATTGGGGTAGGGCCAGACGGAAGGAGACCCAAATGGCGCTGGAACAAGAAATAAGGGGGGGTCCACCACCTAGACAGTGGGTTTAGAAGAATAGTGTCAGGAATACATGTTTGTGTTCCTGACACTGTAATGCCCCTTAATACATTATTGAGGGCACCTGCTTTTGATTGAAGTTAGATGGTTGCACACATGTTATGTGTGTAAAGGACCGTAGGAGAAAAGTGCTCAACCAAACTCCTTTTTGACATGGGGAATAAAATGTACAAAGCAGCAAGGGGAATGGAGAACATTGTGGGTATAGGCAGCAAAAGTGAGCATACTGATATATTCCTGGAATTCTGAATCTATTGCTCGCAATTAACTAACACATTATTTTTATGTATACCATTTGAGACTCTTCCTTATAGGAGCACTATAGGGTCAGGAACACAAACATACACTAAGCTGTAGTTGTTCTGGTGACTATAGTGTCCCTTTAATAGAAGTTCCCTCTGTAAGTCCCTCTGACTTTCACAAGTTTACCAACAGTGAAGTCCCCTTTGACTTTTAGCATTTCGCATACAGTTTGTCAAAAATTCTGTGGTAATACTAGTTAATATCACATTTTTGTGAGTTATTGTTAGAGCTGGGTATCCCCGTTGAGGTCACGATGGACTCAGTGCTTCAAAGTTTACATGAAGGAAGGAAATTATGTATTTGCATTTTCAAAATGGTGGTTACCACGTTCTGGCAACGGATAAGATTGATTTTATATGCACTTCTGCCTGCTATTTAACAGAATCACTTTATAAGTACACTTAAAGGCACACTCTAAGCACCAAAACAACTGTAGCTTAATAAAGCCGTTTTGGTGTATAGATCATGCTCCTGATGTCTCACGGTTTAGTTATCTGCTATTTAGGAGTTAAATCACTTTAGTTTCTGTTTTTGAAACCCTAGCCATACCTCCCCATGCTAATACTGAAAAATAATTAGTTTTCAATCAGATCTTACAGCACAATGTGTTTAATTTAGAAGTTTATTAAAAAAACCAAAAATGTGCTATTAATTTTAGTTACATACTACATAGTTACATTGCTGAAAAGAGACATGCGTCCATCAAGTTCAGCATTTCTTACATATGTTTTTGTTGTTGATCCAAAAGAAGGCAAAAAAACCTAGTCTGAAGTGCTTCCAATTTTGGCAACAAACTAGGAAAAAATTCCTTCTTGACTTTATGATGAACTTTATGTTCAATAATTATTTATTACAATATGAAAGTTGTGCAGAAGTCGACATAGAACACAGAAAATATAACAGTAAATTGCATACGTATGTCATTGATATCAACCCCACCATGTGGAGAGTACATTGTCGGATCATTTAAAACAAATTAAGGACATAAAATTAGAGAGTAGTAAATCAAGCAACCATTAGTGGAATTTATAATACAGTAGACTTAGACTCTCATTCTCGGCCGACCTGATGTACTCCAGTTATTACATACAAGATAGAAAAAGTGAGGCTTGAGCAAAAAAAAAAAAAAAGAGAAAAAAAGAAAAAACAAAAAGGTAAGGGAGGGGGCGGGGCCTGACCACGAAGCTGAGAGGATGCTAGCCTCAGCAGCTCCTGCAGCACTTGACAAAGAAAGCAGATTTTTATTGTCAAAATGGCGATCAATCGTGACAGGCCACCAAACATGAGGTGCCACTGAGAGGAACAAACAGACACTACCCAAGAGACATTACGAGCACCACTCACTCGCCAAGTGTCAGAGGCCTACATGCATGGCAGGCTCAGGAGGGACGGCGCTTTTTCCGATGCCGCGACCAACTGCACATCTGAATATAAGCCCTTGTTCCCCCCCTCTGGACCGGTGGGGGTCATCCCGGTCTAGCCCCACATAACGAGCACCTACCTCCGAAAAGCTCCAGGACGCAAAACACCGCCAGGCGTGAGCCACAAGGCCAAACCAAGATGGCCGACGGCACCGCGGTATACGCAATACGACAGACATCCAACGACTGGGCAGCAGCCTTCCAAGCAAAATTCAACGCCATATGCAGGCGACTCTGGGAGCGACTGGAGAGTAGGAGACAGCCTCCTGCACCAACACCAGTCAGCGACAAACCCACAGCACCCACTGCGAGTCTGCTGGCCAGAACAACGTCCCATAAAGGGCTAAACAATGGGGTGCTGCTGGAAAGATCCCAACCGGCCAACGCTACAACCATACCATGCACTACTGTTGGCCCACCCGGGAGTAGAGCCACACAGGGATCGACCTCTGCGTACCACCCTGCTGAGGAGGGCAAGACACATGCTGCAGCAGCGGATTGCAACCCTGCACAGAGCCCCACCAGGGAAAGACTTGGCTCAGAGAGGGCACAGAGTCTGGGTAAAAATGGTACAGGCTCCTAGAAGATCCTGGGGCAGGAGGGGAGCCATGGCCGGGCGCCGCTATGAAGATCACGTGGAGGCGCGGGATGCCGAAGAACAGCAAAGGAGGCTCACAGACATCCATTCCAAGCCTATAATCAAGACCTCCAGAAGGGGTATTGGATAGGCGTATGTGGACTGACTTGCCAAACTACTTACAGCCCTAGCCCACGTACACACCGTGAGAACTCTGTATTTGCTCGGCTGATAGTTTGCCTACTAACTTACTTCTGGTATAACGTAACACTCTTTGCCTCGATTCAGAATCCCACACCTGATATACCTAGTCTAAGATATTTAAGCTAACACAATCTTGAATTTTTAGCCATACCACCTGTTCATAGTCTTGCAGCAACAGTTAAGCATGTATATGACTTTAATATAGTAACAGGTTTCTCAGCAGTAGCATGTTTCATATTACTTATATCAGCTATCATAGACCATGGTTAAATAACTCTAGCAAACAATCTTAATTGATTCATTTCTACATATGTTCAAGCAAAATTCAGCATGTTTCTTATCGTTACGCATGTTTATTATAATATAAAATTGTGCACGTTCACTCTCCTACCCCAAATGTAAAGCATGATATGGTGCCAGAGGATTAAAAAAAAATACAAAAAAAAAGGTAAGGGAGAGAAATCTATGGAAAAGGAGGGAGGGGAGCTAGAAGGATCTTCCACCTATTCCACGGGTCAAGGACTGTCTGACAACCCTCATACCTTAAACCACACAAATCTAATGACAGCTGTAAATTTAGGTTTGTTACTCAGCTTCCCATCAATTTGTTGTTAAGTGAACTTTAATCACACACAGGATGTTGTTAAGTGAACTTAATGGCTAGTGAGTAAGTGGAAGCTTTGTCCCCTACACAGACTGAAATCCGTCTTTTCAATTGTACAAATAAGGGGAGGTGAGATTTAAAAAAAAAATTATTTGAAAAAAAAAAAAAAGTAAAAATTGATAACATAACTATTTACAAATGAGTGAGGCGGTTATTATAATTACAATATAATAATAGCATGCACGTGAATTATTTGATCTTTAAACAATCGATTGCTTATTTTTCTTGCAGAATGATGCCACAGAGGATGGCATGGACTGTCCTAATGACAAATGTCAAAAAGAATACTTACTCTCTCCTTGCCTTTCAGCAGATGAAATGACGGAGACAGGACGGAATGATGACATCATTATCAAACAAGACAGTCCAGATGTTTTCGCTGTTGAGAATGTGGTTAGTATAACACTTTGAGAAGATCTTTTGTGATTATCACACTATCTTTTAAAGGAACACTCTAATCAGCTTAATGTACTGGTTTTGGACCATAGACACTGTCAGCCCCAGTGTAATCGCTGCTTATTCTGAAAGCCACTAGGGACTATTCCTGGTTGCAGTCCTGCAGGAGAAGCCAAATGCTCCTCATAGAGATACATCGAGTCCATCAGGATTATTCACTGAATTTAGAATTTAAAGTGAATTTCAAATTTAGTCCACAGTAGCTGGATGTAAAGCATAGCTGACTTTTCCAGTTCTTATTTTTGCAACTTGGTTACATTGACTTTAAATTTTAAATTCACTTTGAATTCATCTTAAATTCCCATCTTCGTAAATAACCTTGAAGCTGATTGGAGCAGCGAGTCAATTGCTGCACATGCTCACTAGCCACCCTTGTATGTCCCAATGGGAAAGCATTGGATTGGCTGAAATCATCTGTATTGATGATCACAGCCAGGTGAGATAGGTGTGCCAGGGGATAGAAGGTAAGTAAAATGCTTTATTTCCTGAGTTATGGTTGGGTCCATTAAAGGGACAGTATAGGCACCCAAACCACTTTGTCTCATTGAAGTGGTCTGGGTGCAGTGACCCTGTCCCTGTAACCCTGCAGTTGAAAACATTAAAATATCAGAGAAACTGCAATGTTTACATTGCAGTACTAAGACAGCCTCTAGTGGCCACTAGAGGCACTTCCTGTATTTACACAGAGCTTAACTCTTTGAAATGACACTGGACGTCCTTACACTTTGCATTAGGACATCCAGCATCTTTTAAATCCCCATAGAAAAGCATTGGAGTTTAAGAAGGCCTCATGCATGTGAGGCGCTCCGCGCATGCACGTTTTGTTCCCCCGATCGCCTGACGTCAGAGGAAGAGGAGCCCTACCCAATGCCAAGGAACCTCAGTACTGAAATCAGGTAAATGTGAAAAGGATTATTTAACCCTTCCATAGACAGGGGGAAGCACAGAAGAACATTTTTGTGTTAGGAAATCAAATTTGTATTTCTAACACTATAGTGTTCATTTAATCTAACTGGGCTGTACAACATTCTAATGTTAGGAATACATGTCATTTTTAACTTTTAAGTGTTCCATAAAAGAAGTTCGAGATCTAGAATTTGCACACTTACGTTCGTGCTTTCATTTGTGTGGAAATCAAGAAGTACCCCCGCCTAAGCAAAATAAATATATTCTCATTGTATGGAATATAAACATACGTTGTATGGAATGTTAACGGAGGTTTTATTTATTTATTTTTGTTATTCACACTATGACACGAGGTAAACTACAGCACGCAGGAGCCTTGTTGGAACTTTATTTGTACAATTGGCTTTTACTGTAACAGAATGCTTGTACTACTCTGTGTCCCAATGCAAGTGGCTATTATTCCAAACACCCTTAAATATTAATGTTTATATACGTCCTACTATAAATAAGTAATTGCTCTTAATAATAACACTAATTTAAAATGGCTTATGCAACATTTTCCAAGTTGCAATCTTTCTGTAATACAACTGAACTCATGATTTAAGATATCGCTGTGGACTCTGCAGTACAATTTAAACAATTAGTGTGGAAGAGTTCTGTGGTTACAAATGAGGACAATGTTGTTGCAATAACAGGTTTAAAGGAATGTGTCATCAATTTTTATACTTACCATAAATCAGCTCCAAATGCATTAAATACATCATACATCACAGAGATACATGATGTATTCAAAGTCAATTTCCCCAATATGCGTAACTCAGCTAACCTCCGTTTCAGCGCCACTTCATTGGAGTTACTCTTCCTTTAACACCCACCTCCGGTCTGCCCACAGTAGTGTGTGATTTGCATTGTTTATGGATGATGCCTTGTGGTTGCTATGCATGGAGAGCATAAGGACCTCCTGAGTGAGGTTTTATGTACTCCATTATCAGTCAGTTGACGGACAGGTGGGAGAGAGACCCATTTTTAAATAGGTTTGTCTTCAAATCTGCTTGCACAATGTACAGATAGAATGATATTCCATTTAAAAAGACCATACGTTCTCATGGGTATGGCAGGCACCCCTTAAACTCATTTATTCTTCGAGACTCAGTTTGTTCTCTAGCCATTATTCAATGGACCACCAATGGAGATCTTAAACCATGACTGTTGATAGCACTAGAGAACTGGTTTGAGGTTCACTGTTCCAGTTAGCCGAGTGACTACCCAAATAATGTACAGGTGGAACTGCTATATCGGATGCCTTTAAAGTGCACTAATCATGTTTATTGGGTTGCCATTTAACTGATTTAAGTAGAACCTGTAGTAACACCTAACAATCTACCTACAGTAGACTCACAGTGAGTCCATCACTTTCTGTGTTACTCTGTTGCAGAAGGTAGAAGTGCTCGACGAGGAACTGGATGATTCCATGAACAAATATGACATTGACCAGATGCGCTCTCTCTTGGATTACAAGGTACAACGCAATGTTTTTCATATTACCTTTCCGTCAACATTCTGTGTACTTGTCTACCTTGCATGGAAGCTTCTTTAATCTGTTGTCACCAGTGTGTGTTTATTTTACCCGTCTGCCTGCTGCCCCAGGAAGGTTGGAGTGCATGATATTCTCAGATTCAGGAGGGAGGTACTGGGGGTGCTACGATGCAGGAAGTGGTTTAGATGTGGAGGAAAGGGCCGTTAATGTGGGCTGTAGAAGAGGGCAGGAGTCTAAAAGATAAACACTCACACAGGATCTTGTTTATATTAAATATATCCAGAAGGCATTGCAGCTTGAAGATTAGCTTGTTCTTTACACACACTGTCGCCAGTGGACTATTAATTTCAGCTCGTTAATGAATTCAACAAATGTCCAAATTAGCTTAATGCCACGAAGCATCCAGAATAACATTTGCCTAGACTAAACCAGTCATTGTAGGAACAAATAGCATAAACACGACATATTGTATACGCAACACGAATATATTGGGAGCATCTTCCATTTTCCTGGTATTCCAATTACCCTGGTTATAGAAGTGAATAAAATCTTCACTAATGTCAGCATAGATACAGTTTTTGGATTTTGGGGGGAAATGAATCTTTACTGACGGGAAATGGGAGAAGGAAATTAAACAAGCTTGCCACGTGTGTGAATATATATATATATATATATATATAAAAAAAAATATATGACATATCCAAAACTTAGAAACCTGTGTCTGAAGATGGGTACGTATATTAAACAGCAAACAAGTGCTTGTTGGGAAAAAATTAGACGCACAAAATATCCTATACTAAGAAGAATGGAGTAATTTTTTTCGGCTGACCTGGTCAGCATTTTAAAAATATGTCTGATATTCTCCAGTTGAGTCTCACTGTGAAGACATGCATTCTGGCAGTGAGACAGTTAACAGGTGTCTATAGAAAATCTATTTTGCACGGTTGCAGCTGAACAAGTAATGGAGCAATGAAACCCGTAAAATGTGTTGTTGTTTTTTTAATAGGAGCAGCAGGGTTTAACAGTTTATGTGCTAGGGTGCATTTTTTTTTTTTTTTTAAAGAGAGCAGTGGTTGTGCGCCCCCTAGTGACTGCTGAGCCATCTCTGCAGGCTAGCGTTTCATGCAGTTTCACTGCTCAATATAGTAAGAGTAAGCCAGAGAGAGCTCTTTCAGGGACATGGGATACTGTAGTTTCTCTGCACTGGTACCCAGTCGTACAATTTACCCCAAGAGTGGGACTTGGATGCAGTTAAACAAACAGGGGATGGGTTTTCTTGCAGAACTTTTTTAAAGAAAATATCTCAGTGCAAAACAAAGACATAAAAGAGAAGAAAAAATATACACAACCAAATCCGTTCCAATATGTATCAATTCTGTACATTGTTTGCACATTAACCCTGGGTCTCCCGCCCACCAACATCAAATTACACTCCCTTCTTTAGCTACGATTCTTTTTGGAATAATCAATTCTTCAGTCTGTCTGGCCAATGTGCTCATGTGAGGAACTTTGTAAACTTGAGCTGGTGGGGTAATTGACTAGTTATGTTCTAAGACAATACAAAGAAGACTTAATTTGATGTTATTATTATAATATTACTTCCTTTACAGTACTTGCCGCGGTGCTAATTCCAAATTAACTTGACATTGCAGAGTGAGCAAATCGAAATACAGTTTTCAGAACAATTCCCACTAAGCCTCAGCTCACAGCCCAGGGCTTGCTTCCAGAATGGTCCTCCTGCCCCCAGGATGTAAGGATTAATCTCCATGGCACCTAATTTAGCAACATTGGAGACAAAAAGCATAGACGAGTCTGAAAAGGCATTCTAAATGATCAGTTTGATTCCACTGTGCATACTTGTTCATGAATTTTTGGGAGTTGTAAATAAAATGAAAATGACATAACCAGGGCAGTGCGGGCTAACTCTTGCACCCTAGATGTTTCTGAAGGGTATTTCACCTGAGCAACATGGGTGGTATAGGTAGAAATATCTGGGGTACCAAGATGAGCCATCAATGGACCAGAGTTAAAATGTCTGTCTGTTCTTAATCATGTAGTGATGAGATTCTAAATAACTCCAACTAAATGTATTAATAAAAACTGATTAAGATCCGAATCATATGCACCTGAAAATATCGGTGGCAACATATTGAAGGGGAAAAGAATGCAATTTTAACCTAGATTGAAGACGTTATTGACGGAATGCACAATAGACCTTTGATGTGAAGGGCTACTAAACGTGTTCATGGATTGCAGGATAAAACTTACCAGGAAAGGTTAAAGGATCTTAACATGTATAGCTTGGAGGAAAGACGAGACAGGGGGGATATGATAGAAACATTTAAATACCTAAAGGGAATCAACACAGTAAAGGAGGAGACCATATTTGAAAGAAGAAAAACTACTAAGAGGACACAGTCTTAAATTAGAGGGGCAAAGGCTTAAAAATAATATCAGGAAGTATTACTTTACTGAGAGGGTAGTGGATGCATGGAATAGCCTTCCAGCTGAAGTGGTAGAGGTTAACACAGTGAGGGACTTTAAGCATGAGTGGGATAGGCATAAGGCTATCCTAACCATAGGCGTGCGCACGGGGTGTGCCGGGTGTGCCTGGGCACACCCTAATCCCGCGCACGCCTATGTATATTGAGACCGGCAGGGGAGATCTCAGGATCTCCCCTGTCGGCTCATGCATAGCCGGCGCTATCCGAGCGCCGGCTCTGCTCTCAGCCTCCCTCCCCACTGACCCGCATGCAGGGAGGGAGGCAGGAGAGGACCCGGCGGAGCTATTGCCGGCAGCTCCGCCGGGTTCCTCTCGCGAGATATGAGCGTTGCCACGGCAACGCTCAAATCTCGCGACAGTGAACTCTAGCCCCACAGGGGTTAGAGTTCACTCTCCACTGGACCACCAGGGATCACAGCAGCAACAAGGATCCCTCCTCCACTGGACCACCAGGACCACGATCCCCCCCTCCCTACAAAAGGTAAGAAGGAAGGGGGGATAGCAATTAATGTACCCCCACCTCCACCCCCCACAATAACCCACCCACACACATACAACACACACAGCACACACACATTCAGCACCCACAGACATACAGCACCCACAGACACACAGCACCCACACACACACAGCACCCACAGACATACACAGCACCCACAGACATACACAGTACCCACACAAATACAGCACCCACACACATACAGCACCCACAGACATACAGCACCCACAGACACACAGCACCCACAGACACACAGCACCCACAGACATACACAGCACCCACACACATACAGCACCCACAGACATACACAGTACCCACACACATACAGCACCCACAGACATACAGCACCCACAGACATACACAGCACCCACAGACATACACAGCACCCACACACATATAGCACCCACTGACATACACGGTACCCACAGACATACAGCACACACACATACAGCACCCACACACATTCAGCACCCACAGACACACATTCAGCACCCACACACATTCAGCACCCACACACATACAGCACCCACACACATACAGCACCCACACACACACACAGCACCCACAGACATACATACACGGTACCACAGACATACAGCACACACACATACAGCAGCACCCACACACACATACAGCACCCACACACATTCAGCACCCACAGACATACAGCACCCACAGACATACAGCACCCACACACATACAGCACCCACAGACATACACAGCACCCACACACACATACAGCACCCACACACATACAGCACCCACAGACATACACAGCACCCACAGACATACACAGCACCCACACACATTCAGCACCCACAGACATACACAGCACCCACACACATTCAGCACCCACAGACATACAGCACCCACAGACATACACAGCACCCACAGACATACACAGCACAGACATACACAGCACCCACAGACATACAGACACACAGCACAGACATACAGCACCCACAGACATACACAGCACCAACACACATACAGCACCCTCACACACAGCACACAAACAGCACCCTCACACACACACACACACTAACAGTACCCTCACAAACACAAACAGGACCCTAACAAACACACACACAGCACACTACCAGTACCCTCACACACAAACAGCACCTCACACACAGTACACAGCACCCTCACAGCGGACCCTAACAAACACACACACAGCCAGTACCAGTCACACACAAACAGCACCCTCACACACAGTACATTAACAGCACCCCCACAAGCGCACACACACACACAAACAGCACCCTCACACACAGTACATTAACAGCATCCTCACAAGCACACAAACACCCTCACCCACATAGCACACTACCAGCACCGTCACACACACATCACACTAACAGCACCCTCACACAGCACACACACACACACAGAGCAGTGTGTGTATGTGTGTATATATGTGTATGTGTATATATATATATATATATATATATATATATATATATACACACACACACACATACATATATATATGCGGCTTGTGCTTTAGGGTGCACACCCTAATGCAATAGGCTGCGCACGCCTATGATCCTAACTATAAGATAAGGCCAGGGACTAATGAAAGTATTTAGAAAATTGGGCAGACTAGATGGGCCGAATGGCTCTTATCTGCGTCACATTCTGTTTCTATGTTTATGGTACCTATAGCATGTCCCTGCAGTCTTAGCATTATAAACGCTGTGTTTTTATAGAAAAGGCAGTGTTTACATTACTGCCTTTAACACCTCTTGTGGTTGTCACTCAGATGGCCACTAGAGGTGCTTCCTGGGTCAGTGCTGCATTTAGTTCAGCAATTTCGGTCAGTGTCTCCATCCTCTGCCTGGAGACCTTGAACGCTCCCTACAGAGATACATTGATTCAGTACATCACTATGAAGACATGCCGGATGGCGCAGTGCAGTGTTTTACTGCGCATGTGCAATAGCCTCACAATGCTTTCCTATGGCAAAGCCATTAGATTAGCGGAGATCTTCAAGACTGATTATGTCAGCCATAGAGGCGGTGCCAGCCACGGCGATGGAGAAAAAGTAAGTAAAATGTGTAAAAAGTGTTCCTTTTACCATTATATCTAGCACTGAGATATATATCTGTTCTAAATTAATAAATGACATTAATAATATCGTTTGTGCCTGTTAAAACCTGCTGCATGGGACATTTTCTTTAGTAGTCAATAAGTAGTATTTGTTAAAAGGTGACAACTTTTCTTGGATACACTATCTTCAAAATAAGGTGTTAAATTTGATTTATAATGGCCTTTAGGTAATCTATGATAGAAACTACAAACCCATTTAAATTGCTACTGATGGTGTTAAAGCTCACCAATTCAGTTGACATGTTCTTTTAGCACGTGCTGGGAAGTTCAATTTTCACTTAATTAGAAGCAAATCTGACTCACTGGTAGGCGATCACTTTACCTGTAATAAACAGATCCCATAATCTCAAATCTATCTCCGGTACCTGGTAGTTTTCTAAACGTTCTCACTCCAAGGTTCTTTGAAGTACTAATCCTATAATGTTTTTTTTTTTTCAAAATGATTCTGTGCAGACTTGTCAGCTGTACCAAAGTATGATTCTAATATCAAAACCCATGGAAGCCCTAACTCGCCAGGAGTACACATGCTAAAAATGTTTTAATTTATTTCAATATTGATAATGTTTTACATCATAGCAACTATGATATAATTCAAAAAGGAAAATGAAGAAAGGAATACAAGGAATTTCCAAATAATGTTCATAAACTATTTGGTGGCAAAGGAATGTGTAGAACAACTCAATCCGATGATTTGTCCCTCCACCTTAGAAATACTCAATCTTGTATAACCCTTACGAGATAAAGTTGAAAAGACAATTTTTCCATATTCTTATTGGTTCTTCCTCATTTTGTTTCAGGTCATTATATGTAGCTATGCTGGAATATGAGGTTGTACCAAAACTCTGCCATCCCAGTTCCCTGACTTGAACCTCGTGGGTTTTATATGGGGCTCAAGTCAGGGTACTGGTATGGCCATGGTAGGACCTGATTTTGTGGTCAAGACGCAACTTACTTCTGCAGTTTTCCAGCTGTAATCCTTGAAGATGTTTTGGCCACGTTAATCATCCTCTTCACAGTGCATTGAGACAATATAGACACACATCCCCTTCCAGGTTGATTCATAACATGTCCAGTTGCCCAGATGATGAAAATTGGCATTTTCAATGCTTTTGCTATTTTCTTTTAGCCACTTTCTATTTTGTGAAGCTTACCAACTCTTTGCCACTCATCACAGCTATATTCTTTGTTTTAACCCATCCTGATGAATGAATAAGGGGATTTGGCCTATGTGTTCCCTCATATTTATACCCCTGTGACACAGAAAGTCACGGTCGAACAATTTCCTGTTCCTAGTCATCCAGGTGTGCTAAGAAAATGTAAAATGTGAATTGAAATATAAATCAAATATTCATGGAGATGACAATATTGTGACAATAATTATGTCACATATATATTATATATATATATAAACAAACCTGTGTTGTGTTTGCAATTGTTTGATACCCGTAAGAGCAGAATATTTTTGTGTATTTCGGAACAAAAGATCAAAAGATCAAACAATAAAGGCACATGTTCACAGCCTTCTGTGCTCGATTTACCAAGTGTGCCAATATCAGTGGAAGGCACGGTATATATCTTTAGAAATATATTGGCTACTGTAATCTGTTACCAGCTATGATACCTAATAACCCATCACTGCCTTTCTAGCTGGTAAACCTTATTGATTTCTAAGATGGTAATTATATTCCCAATGGGATCTTGTCTTATTTTAGATGATGATAATATTCCTGTAGTTACAAATTAACTTCCCGCAGCCCTCTCCGTGTATCACCCTGATATCCCATGTAACCTTTCCATTAGCAATGCAATATCAGTTCTTTTACGGCATTGCAATGGCTTATTAGTTTTAAAGGAATCTTAGAATGGGCATCTTTTGGCATCTAACTGTGGGATATATGGGATAATTTTTTTGTGGAAACCAATTACAAGAAGGCCGCCTTTATCCAACTACAAATATGATTACCCTGGTGTATGTGTGTGTCTATATATATATATATATATATATTTTACAGCAGTATGCTGCACCTATACACCACATATAGCAGGGGTAGGCACATCAAATATTGTGGACTACACCTCCCATAATGCTCTCACAACCATAATGCTGGCAAAGTACCATGGGAAATGTAGTCCATAACATCTGGAGTGCTGAAGGTTGCCTGCCCCTGACATATAGTAATGATCGATGCTGAAATTAATTTTTTTATTTTAGGTGAAAATGTCTAATCCAGCAGCTGACTCTGAAGAGGCATAAAGCCAGCACTTTAGTGTTTATACTCCTGTTGGCTCGAGGAGATATCGCTGATTAAATTTATACATAATTGGAATTTGGGGAGATCCTGTTTCATTCCTTCTTAAACCAATTCAGATGGGTGCCATGGTAACAAATTGTCAGGAGATTCTTTTTGCTGCCGAGACAGTGACTGGTAAAGAGATTCTCCTCTGTAGTGCCACTGTGTGCATGTTCGTGGTGGTTCGTGAAATGCCAGCGTATGTTGGCGGTGAGTCACACAGTGCTCACTTATCAGTGTTTGTCCTCCAGCCTAGTCAGTAACTCTTCCAGGTCCAGTGAACTATTCAACAGCGTTAAATGCAAGATAATTCCAGTGTTAAAAGAATTTCTATCTAATTCTCTTCTGCTTAAATATTAAACATTAAAATAATGAACTTCCTCCCTCCCTTCCTCCCTCGCCCGTTCCAGTCTGTGTGCAGTAAATACGCTCGTTAGAGTTGTTGCATATTTGTCGGTTTAGTGCAGATATCAGGCCTAAATTAAAAAATTTAAAGATAATTGCTGGGGATTTGTGTTTGCCTTATGTTTACTGTGGTTTGCAGTACAGTATTCGAAGAAAAATCTCTTGAATAATTTTGTCAAAACCACATCTGAAAAAAAATGGTCATATGCTATTGTGCACTGTTATGTCATTGTCTGCTAAGAAATAGCCTTGCTTTATGGGAGAGAATGATTAATAATAGTGTTTGGCCCTCAGGGTCCTTTCTTATCTGTATTATTACCACTGGTGTAATATGCAAAAAAAAAAGGCAATATTACAGAAAAACTACAAAATACTATTATGTTGGAAAACGAGTAAGATAGTGGCTGCAGAGATTTTTAATTTTTTTAAAATTATTTTTGCTTTCATGCTGCACCATATTTAAAGGGACACTAAAGGCACCCAGGTCGGTTCAGCTCATTGAAGTGTTCTGGGTGCAGTGTCCCTGTTCACCTCAGCCCTGCAATGTAAAATATTGCAGTTTTTGAGAATCGGCAACTTTTAGTGGATGTCTACCAGACTGCCATTAGAGGTGATTCCAGGAGTTTACCGGACTGAAAAATGCTGGACATCCTCACGCTCTGCAAAAGGACATCCAGTGTCAGTGAAATGAGGCAATGCTTTCCTATGGGGAGGGCCTAATGTACTCACAACGCTCACGGCACATGCACTTTAGGTCCCCCCTATGGGGGACCTAAAGGAAAACAGTGTTATGAATACAAATATGTATTTCTAGCATTTTAGTTGTTTTTAATAGACTTAAAATAAATTATTACACTTTTTTTCTTTTCACATACTATGTATCTACTTTTCTATGCTTACAGTAGAAAGCGGTCTGATTAGGTCTGATTAGTTGCAGACTGGTATAATGCACTCCTGTAACGTATGCAGAATTGTGATCTCTCAGAGATTCTGCTGTAAGTTGCACCTCTCCTCCTCCTCCTTTCAGAGTTTGGAGTTTTTAAGATTGCTTGTTGTGTGGGTGTAGGGGTACTTACCTGGTCCTTGTGCTGTCCGGGGTCCTTGCACACTCCTGGCGGGCCATGTGCGCCAATCGGGCGTGCAGCTAGTACAGTATTAAGAACGCTGCTCGTGTCACGGGCACCTTCTTAAAGGGGGAAATGGGAGCCTAACCTCGTGGTCGGCTCCCATTGGCCCAGGTCATTCTGGTGCCCCACGTCATTCTGGCGCCCAGTATTATTTAAACTCACCTGGCCTTAGATCCTGTGCCTCTTAGTGAGTTCCCTGAGTTATTGTATTGTATTCTGATATTGATCTTGGCTTTGTTTTCTTGACTCTGAGTTTATCTTTAACCCTTGCCTGTCTTGTTTGCCCGTCTGACTGATTACTGACTGTTAGGGTTATACCTCGTGACAGTGGGTCAGCTGCTCACCCTTTTTTGAGGTTGCTGTCCAGTTCTTGAAATCATGCTTTTCATTGTGTGATCTCCTCCAGGTTCTGTTGCTTTTGTGTGTGTGTGTGTGTGTGTGTGTGTGTGTTTCTGTTTCTCTCTCAACAGCTGATTACATGTCTTGGGTACACACAGCTCCCATGCCTCAGGTGATGTCGAGCCCTATGTGGTTTTTGTTTTATGTCTTCCACATCGGCTACCAGTCAGGATGTATCTGTGTGTGTGGTTGAATGTGTGATGCTATGAGTTGTTGTTTTTTGGGGGGGGTTTAAAAGTTCAATGTATGAAAAAAATATAACATAGACAACTTCATTCTTTAAAATACCTCCCTCCCGATCCTTACCCCTTGTGGCCCTTGAAGAAGAGATTATCTGAGTTTTGCAATAGGAACTCTGACTGTTACAGAAAAGATATCAAATAGCATTACAATTATTTATATAACATCAACATATTCTGCTGCGCTGTACAAAACAACAAGATAAAACAAGAAAAACAATGAATTCTAACAAACTACTTTTGACATACGGAAGTAGTGGGTGAAGAGGTCCTGCCCCAACAAGCTTACAATCTAAAGGGATGAATGGTAAATACACAGAAGGCAATCATATGATCTGGAGACTCCTGAAAGGATGGGAGGGTGTGTGGGAGGAAGGAGTACCATAAATGGGACCTTTATTTGTGTTTGTGTGTCAATTTGTATTTTAATTCTTTCACGGCATGGTGATAACGATGGCCTCGTTCTTCTTTTCACAGAATGAAGAAATGCGATACATGGAGAATGAACTGGAAAAGCTAAAGCATAAATATACAGAGCTGCAAGCGTTCACAAGGAATCTAATCCACGCTGTGAAAACCAACAACAAAGATCAACAACAGGTAAAACATGCAGGCCATTAGGTTGCTTGGCCATTGGGTTGTAACTTAGAACGAGTGCTTCCACAAATGGGCGCTACAGGTAACCAGACATCATAAGTGCAATGCAGGGTCGAATTTTTATTCATCTTGTTTATTTTTTTTTATTTTTATTTTTTAATAATTTGTTTTACTCTACCCCTATTGTCCCTCTCTCAAAAATACCACTATATATAATGTTGCATCTTTGGTCTCTGGGACTTGTAGTTTAGCAGATTTTTACAGTAGAAAGTTGTCGATTGACCTAGAACTCCCTTAAATCCTTACTGTGCCTGTAACACGCTGCTTATTGGAATTATCTCAACAGTTCAGTTCAACATCATGAATAGTTAAGTCATTTCCTGGATTATTGTATGATTTCTGCAGAAGTTGTAAAGCCAAGGGATTTGCAAAACACGCAGGGACCTAATTTCTTGTTTTTTGCACATATTTTGTTTGTATATTCTAAACATAAATAATAGGTCAACTCCAGCCAGTGGTGTCCCTTTAATACTCTTTTTTTAATGCCTTTTTTTTTTTTTAACTGTTTTTGTTATTGTTTTATGGTTTTTTGTTTTGTTTGTTTTTTAAATTTTTTTATTTTTCAAGTTCTTATTGCGAGGGCTTATTTTTTTACGCTTGTAAGTAACAAGCAACATTTAAGAATTTTAAATAACAACAACCAGTAGATTTCGGCTGCTAACAAATAGTTTCCATGGTCAATATATTTGTTTAACATCTGTATGCTACTCTTATCTGCCACCAGTTAGCATCTACCATTTAGAAAATTGGACAAACATCAAAAATAGCAACTCCCCTAGGACCCTAAAAGGTTCGCTCAGTGTATGCACACTTCATCTACTATCAGCTGAGCAAATTGCCATTATTGTTTCCATACACCTTCCATGCCAAATTTATTGGAATATACAGCAAGCATGTCAATCTCAAAGGCTAGCACAGGCCAAATAAACAAGGTTTAAGTTTATGTGGGCCACAAAAAAACCCAATTAAATTGTCATAGAAACGTAGGTTTATTTTGACAAGTAGAGTATAAAAAGAACAGCATCCCCATCTACTAAACACTAGCCCCCCTCTACACTAAACCTCAATTCCATCCTCTATACTAAATCCCAGTCCCCCCCCTCAACTAAATCCCAGCACCCCCCTCTACTAAACCCCGGCCCCTGTTTTAAAAAAAGTCAAAGCCACTGCCAGTATGTGACTATGGAGCCAGCCTCTGGTATACCCCCAATAGCGCCATCTGCACACTGTGACACTGTGCCAAAGCTGATCCTCCCGCTACTCTTTGAAACCCTGTGAAGGTGGAGTACGTTGATGTCACATCTGAATGTGATGTAGCGTTGCGTGTCTCCTCCAGATCCTCCACTGTCCAGCTGCGGCCATCGCAACACTGACCAACACGCACTGACAGACACAGACACACACTCACTGACAGACACACACTCACTGACAGACACACACACACTCACTGACAGACACGCATACTGACAGACACACACTCACTGACCAATACATACACTCACTCACAGACACACACACTTACAGACACACTCACTGACAGACACACACACACACACACACTCACTGACAGACACACACACACACTCACTGACAGACACACACACTGACAGACGCGCACACACACACTGACTGACAGGCCCACACATTTACACATTCTTTCACTCACTCACAAATCATTTTATTTATTGCTCCCTACATTTGGGAGCTGGTATGAGGCCTCTCCCCTGGGTCTCCCTTCCTGCTTCTCACTGCTCCCTCACATGCGCAGTTTAGTGATGCCGGGCCAGAATTACATCATATTCCAGCACCCAGACAGACACACACTCACTGACAGACACACTCACTGACAGACGCGCACACACACACTGACAGACACACTCACTGACAGACACGCACACACACACTGACTGACAGGCACACACATTTACACATTCTTTCACTCACTCACAAATCATTTTATTTATTGCTCCCTACATTTGGGAGCTGGTGTGAGGCCTCTCCCTGGGGTCTCCCTTCCTGCTTCTCACTGCTCCCTCACATGCGCAGTTTAGTGATGCCGGGCCAGAATTACATCATATTCCAGCACCCAGACAGACACACACTCACTGACAGACACACTCACTGACAGACGCGCACACACACACTGACAGACACACTCACTGACAGACACGCACACACACACTGACTGACAGGCACACACATTTACACATTCTTTCACTCACTCACAAATCATTTTATTTATTGCTCCCTACATTTGGGAGCTGGTGTGAGGCCTCTCCCTGGGGTCTCCCTTCCTGCTTCTCACTGCTCCCTCACATGCGCAGTTTAGTGATGCCGGGCCAGAATTACATCATATTCCTGCACCCGGCATCACCACAGAGAGCGCACGCGAGCAGTGAGAACAGACTGAGCTCCCTCACTGCTGCCCGCCAGCTAAATTTTAGCAGAGTGGGCACCTGTAATGTGGGTGGGGGGGGGGCAGGTGCCTACTCTGCCTTAACATGTCAAACTCGCAGCTCGCTGGGCCGCAAAGATATTTATTGTGGGCCGCGAGTTTGACATGCTTGATATACATCATTCTTACTGAAATGTACTTAAATATAGAAAAGATTAACTTTAATATAGGCTGTATTGATTATTTTTAACTTTACACCTAGAAGAAAGGTGTACTTTTTAGTTTTGCCCTTACACTAAAATCCCCCCTTGAACCCTGCACTACACTAAACATTAACCCCTACACTACACTAACACACTACACTAAACATTAACCCCTACACTACTGTAACCAACTAAACATTAACCCCTACACTACACTAACACACTACACTAAACATTAACCCCTACACTACCGTAACACACTAAACATTAGCCCCGACACTACACTAACACATCACTAAAAATTCACCCCAACACTACACTAAACATTAACCCCTACACTAACACGCTATGCTAAACATTAACCCCTACACTACACTAACACACTACAGTAAAGATTAACCCCTACACCACACTAAACATTAACCCCTACACTAACACACCACACACTCCTGGTTCATTATGTTTCCGGGAACCCAGAGCTTGCATAATGTTACCAGAAAACTTTGATAAGGATTTAAGTATTCAACAAGTAGCCCTTCAGACTACAATTCCCATGTGGCAAAACATAATGGAAGTTAAAATGCCAAATCAACTCTAGGACTGACAGTAAGCAATGTGCAGAGAGTTACACGACTACAGCTGATTACTCTCCAGAAGCCAGAGCTTGCATAATGTTACCAGAAAACTTTGATAAGGATTTAAGTATTCAACAAGCCCTTCAGACTACAATTCCCATGTTGCAAAAAATAATGGAAGTTAAAATGCCAAATCATGATTTTTTTTCTTTATCAAAGCAGTTATATTTATAAAACCTATTGATACATGTTCATTGATATTATTAAAGGTTCTGTGTTTAGAGTTTGCTTCTGTGATTATACCGCTCTCTATTAACACGCCATCTGTTCAATCTCTTCAATATGTTTTGTGTCTCCTTGCAGATTCTTCTCACAGAGCCACCCCATGAATTTGAGGACATGGATTATGATCACACATCTCCAGATCCCGACGATACCTCATACAGCATGTCCTCCGTCTCAGAAAAAAACAACCCAGACAGCGTATAGAAGCATCACTCATACCCCGTGGACTCCACAAATTGTTCCAATGTCCTGTGCCACTCTAATACATGTTCGTTCTTTGTAAGACAGAATGACCAACTAATGGACTAACAAAATCTTAACTTATTTTAAGTGAAAATAGAATATATTTTGCATCCTCGAAAAAAAAAAAAATTTGGCTTCATAAAATAAATAAAATATGTTACAGTCAAAAAATAATTCTCTATCAGAGAGCTTTTGTCTTAAAAAAGTGTGTGTGTGCGTAGACACACATACACACACACACATACGAATATATCTTGTAATTTCTTGTTTTTTTATTTGGGATTCCTCCTGAGCCGTTTATTCTGCATGTGGGGATTTATTAAAGGACCACTCTAGTCACCCAGACCACTTCAGCTTAATAAAGTGGTCTGGGTGGCAGGTCCCTCTAGAATTAACCCTTTTTTTATAAACATAGCAGTTTCAGAGAAACTGCTATGTTTATAATAGGGTTAATCCAGCCTCTAAAGCCTCTATAGTGGCTGTCATTGTCATTGACAGCCGCTAGAGGCATTTGCGTGCTTCTCACTGTGAAAATCACAGTGAGAAGACGCAAGCGTCCATAGGAAAGCATTATGAATGCTTTCTTATGAGAATGGATGAATGCGCGCGCAGCTCCTGCCGCGCATGCGCATTCAGCCGAAGAGGAGGAGAGGAGGAGGAGAGCTCCCCGCCCGGCACTGGAAAAAAGGTAAGATTTAACCCTTTCCTCGCCATCCAGCCTGGCGGGAGTGGGACCCTGAGGGTGGGGGCACCCTCAGGGCACTATAGTGCCAGGAAAACGTTTTTTCTGGCACTATAGTGGTCCTTTAAGGAACAATTTGGTTATTACTGTGATCAGTTTGCTATTTTCAAAAAGAAGAATGTCCGTATACACTCATTGCTTCTTTGTGTTTTGCACAGCAGTAGTACACCTGCCCTTTAATAAAATTAGCAGTGTTAACAAAAAAAAACCTCCCTAGTTGCTAGAATTTCTAAGGCAAAGAAAAGTTTTTTTACTATAAGAACAATAAGGATGTTGAATTCTCTGCCTGAAGAAGTGGTTTTATCAGAGTCCGTACAGATGTTCAAACAGCAACTAGATGCATACTTGCAAAAACAGAATATTCAAGGATATACTTTTTCAATGTAGGGTAATAACTGCTTGATCCAAGGATAAATCTGACTGCCATTCTGGGGTCAAGAATATATCTTTTTCCTAGTCTGTTGCAAAATTGGAAGTGCTTCAAACTGTTTTATAGAAACATAGAAACATAGAAACATAGAATGTGACGGCAGATAAGAACCATTCGGCCCATCTAGTCTGCCCAATTTTCTAAATACTTTCATTAGTCCCTACCCTTATCTTATAGTTAGGATAGCCTTATGCCTATCCCACGCATGCTTAAACTCTTTTACTGTGTTAACCTCTACCACTTCAGCTGGAAGGCTATTCCATGCATCCACTACCCTCTCAGTAAAGCAATACTTCCTGATATTATTTTTAAACCTTTGTCCCTCTAATTTAAGACTATGTCCTCTTGTTGTGGTAGTTTTTCTTCTTTTAAATATAGTCTCCTCTTTACTGTGTTGATTCCCTTTATATATTTAAATGTTTCTATCATATCCCCCCTGTCTCGTCTTTCCTCCAAGCTATACATGTTAAGATCCTTTAACTTTTCCTGGTAAGTTTTATCCCGCAATTCATGAACCAGTTTAGTAGCCCTTCTCTGAACCCTCTCTAAGGTATCATTATCCTTCTGAAGATACGGTCTCCAGTACTGTGTACAATACTCCAAGTGAGGTCTCACCAGTGTTCTGTACAATGGCATGAGCACTTCCCTCTTTCTACTGCTAATACCTCTCCCTATACAACCAAGCATTCTGCTAGCATTTCCTGCTGCTCTATTACATTGTCTGCCTACCTTAAGTCATCAGAAATAATCACCCCTAAATCCCTTTCCTCATATGTTGAGGTTAGAACTCTATCAAATATTCTGTACTCTGCCCTTGGGTTTTTACGCCCAAGATGCATTATCTTGCACTTATCCACATTAAATGTCAGTTGCCACAATTCTGACCATTTTTCTAGTTTAGCTAAATCATTTGTCATTTGGCTTATCCCTCCTGGAACATCAACCCTGTTACATATCTTAGTATCATCAGCAAAAAAGACATACCTTACCATCAAGACCTTCTGCAATATCACTAATAAAAATATTAAAGAGAATGGGTCCAAGTACAGATCCCTGAGGTACCCCACTGGTGACAAGTCCAAGCTTCTAATATATTCCATTAACTACAACCCTCTGTTGCCTGTCACTCAGCCACTGCCTTACCCATTCAACAATATTTGAATCCAGACTTAAAGATTGCAGTTTATTGATAAGCCTTCTATGTGCAACAGTGTCAAAAGTCTTACTGAAATCTAGGTAAGCAATGTCTACTGCACCACCCTGATCTATAATTTTAGTTACCCAATCAAAAAAATCAATAAGATTAGTTTGGTATGATCTCCCTGAAGTAAACCCATGTTGTCTCTGATCTTGAAATCCATGTGTTTTTAGATGTTCATCAATCCTATCCTTTAACATGGTTTCCATCACTTTCCCACTACTGAAGTAAGGCTTACTGGCCTATAGTTGCCCGACTCCTCCCTATTACCTTTCTTGTAAATGGGCACAACATTCGCTAACTTCCAATCTTCTGGGACTACTCCTGTTAACAATGATTGGTTAAATAAATCTGTTAATGGTTTTGCTAGTACACCACTAAGCTCTTTTTAATAGCTTTGGGTGTATTCCATCAGGTCCCATTGACTTATTTGTCTTTACTTTTGACAGTTGAAATAGAACCTCTTCCTCTGTAAACTCACGTGTAATAAATGACTCATTTATCCCTTTTCTCAACTGAGGTCCCTTTCCTTCATTTTCATCTGTAAATACAGAACAAAAATATTCATTGAGGCAGTCAGCTAGACCTTTATCCTCTTCTACATACCTTCCTTCTTGTTTTTAATCTAACTAATCCTTGTTTTACTTTTCTTTTCTCATTTATGTATCTAAAAAATGTTTTATCCCCCTTTTTACTGACTGTGCTATTTTCTCTTCTGTGTGTGATTTGGAAGCTCTTATAACTTGTTTAGCCTCTTTCTGCCTAATCTTATAGATCATTTTGTCTCCCTCACTCTGGGTTTTTTTATAATTCCTAAATGCTAACTTTTTGTTTTTAACTATTTTGGCCACATCTGCGAGTACCACAGTGGTTTCTTGAATTTTTTGCTTTTACTGACAAGCCTAATGCAATTTTCTGTTGCCTTCAACAGTGCAACTTTTAAATAATCCCATTTCTCTTGGACTCCATTTAAATTGCTCCAGTCTGATGATGACTCCTCTACCCATATTCTAATTTTAGAAAAGTCTGTTTTTCTAAAGTCTAAAACTTTTTTGTTTTTGTGTGGTGTGACTCAGTCACTGTTCTTATATTAAACCACACTGACTGATGATCACTGGATCCCAAACTTTCACCTACAGTAATATCTGATACCAAATCTCCATTTGTTAACACTAAATCTAGCATGGCCTCTTTACGAGTTGGCTCCTCAACAACTTGTTTTAGAGACAATCCCAGTAGGGAGTTTAGAATATGTGTGCTCCTGGCACAAGTAGCTAATTCTGTTTTCCAATTTACATCAGGAAGATTAAAGTCACCTATGATGATAACTTCCCCCTTCATTGTCATTTTAGCTATTTCCTCAACTAGTAGATTATCTAACTCTTCAATTTGTCCTGGGGGCCTATAAATCACACCTACACGAGTTACTGTGTGATTACTAAATTCTAACGTAGCCCAAACGGACTCTATGTTTGCCTCACTAACTTTTATTAGGCTAGATTTTATGCTATCCTTCACATACAAGGCCACCCTCCCCCTTTCTTGCCTTCCCTATCTTTCCTATATAAAGAGTACCCTGGTATTGCTATGTCCCAGTCATTTTTCTCATTGTACCATGTCTCAGTAACAGCGACTAAATCTACACTATCAGTTGCCATTATTGCCACAAGTTCATGGATCTTATTCCCTAAACTGCAAGCATTTGTAGACATGACTCTAAGCTTATCATTTTTTAACACACTTGCTACAGGCACCTTCTGTCCTTCTTTTGGGGGACAATTGGATTGATGTTTTATCACCCTTTTGCCCCCCCCTCCTAGTTTAAATACATCCTAGCAAAACCTCTGAACTGCTCACTGAGAACATTTGTTCCCTTTTGAGAAAGATGCAAACCATCTTTTTTGTACAGTTTATTTCCATTCCAAGCAGAGCTACCATGAGAAATAAAGCCAAATCCTTGCTCCCGACACCATTCACCAAGCCACAAATTAAAGTCCCTAATACGCATCCGCCTGTCGCTCTGAGTGTTATGCACAGGCAGAACTTCAGAGAATGACAGTGTGGAAGCAACCTACCGTATATCATTGGCAAAAACACTAAAAACTTCCTTAACCTCTGAAACCTCATTGCAAGCCAAGTCATTTGTCCCTAGATGGACAAGTACATCCAATTCCCCTTCCTGCTTTGCTTGCTTAATAATATTACAGATACGTCTCCTGTCTCTGTGAGCAGTAGCTCCGGGAAGACACCTCACAAGACCACCATTGTCCATCTCCACACCTCTTATAATGGAATCCCCCAACAACAACTGCTTTCTATTAGGCCTCACCATAGTCTCCAAGCCGGTCTCAACAACACCACTAGTCTCAGTGCCTCTCTCCACAACACCACTAGCCTCAGTGCCTCTCTCCACAACACCACAAACCTCAGTGCCTCTCTCCACAACACCACTAGCCTCAGTGCCTCTCTCCACAACACCATTACACTCTGAAAGTGCAGAAAATGAATTATGAAGAGCAACAGACTGTGCAAAATGCCTTTTATCCACAACTCTAAGTCTACCAGTTCCTACAGTAATCCATCTGCCTTTC